AATGTTTTTATTATGCTCTGTACAGTGTCCTTGGGTGTTTAGAAAGGCGCTTTTAAATAAAATGTATTATTATTATTATTATATATCTCGCAGGTCTCACCCGATTGTTCAGTTAGGGGGACTAGACAGAAGACAGTGGTGGCCCCAGCAAGTTGGGCAGGACAGAAACAACAGGAAATGTAAAAATAACAAACGCATAGGAGTCATTGTCCCATAAGGAGCGGGATGACCAATGTCCATACATATATCTGTGTTAAATCACCTTCTACACATTCACGTCTACAAATGTTATTATTGACCCTTTAAGTCCCACTGAGATTACATGTTTTTAATGGTAGGGGAAACTGGAGCCCCTGGAGGAAACCTACACAGACACGGGGAGAAAAAGCCATCTCAGAAAGGCCCTGTCTGGAGGTGGAATCGAATCCGGGACCTTTTTGCGGAGAAGGGAGAAGGCTAACCACTCAGCCACCGTCTTAGAACCTCAATGCCAAGTTCAACTCAGCATATCAAAAAATATATAATTAGAAACTTGTTTGAGAAAGCAAAAAAAGATCAAACGGTCCTCAACTGAAACCATTTCAACCGGAGATTTTGAGAGACACTCACTCGAACAAGCTAAATCAAAACGTCAAAGACTTCCCCCCATCTCTTGACAAGTCTAAATCTTCGCTGACAATCTTTTCAGACACATCCATTGTCTCATTTGTGCTGACAGCGAACAACTCCAAGTCCCACACACACACACACACACACACACACGTACACGCATGTTACAACACAAAGCTTTTTGCTCGGCGTCGGGTTGATTCACTTAGGCAGCGTAATCACTCAAAAGATGCACGAGGCGAGATAGCACAAAGAAAATGAATTCGGCTGTGGTAATCAAAGGGGAGATAAGAAGAGCGGAGAGAGAGAGAGGAGAGCGTTGTGCGTTTCGTTGCCAAGTTTGTTTTTGTTTTTTTCTGTTGTAGTTGCGCAAGCAGCCGACTGTCACTCACTCACAGCAAAATGAGATCCAGCGGAGGGAATACAAAGCAGCTTTTCAACGCAGGTAGAGGCGAGGTGAGGAGAGCGCGAGGGTTAAAGTCAACCCAGAGAGAAAGTCTTCAGAATCAATTAGGAGTACTGATCGCTGAAGAGGTAGCACTCAGGATTTGGGATGGTTCCTCGCGGGTGTGTTTTTAGCTTCTGTTCATTTTTGATTAAAGCAAATTAACGATAGCAAGGACTTCTCTTTTGTGGTGAATTACAGTAAGGATCAGAAACTATGCAAAATATTTGAAGCCTGTGTTATTGGCCAATGATGCAAAATACCAAAAACATATAAAGTCATTAATAGGAACTTGGAACTTAATTGAAATTGTATCCATTGAAAACCTATTTTTAATATTTTTTTGAATTTTGCTGTGGGGAAGTTTGTCTTCTGCATTCGACCCATATCCTTCCATTGCTCTCCATTGCTAACCCTAACCCTAACCCAGGGAGATAACATGTGTGTGCACATTATGTATCCCCGTAGGGAACTTTGTCCTCTGCATTTGACCCATCCTGCAAATGCCACTAGGGTTTCTGTCAGAAGCAGTGGTCGCCGTGGTAACAGCTCCCGGGAACCCATCTCCAGATGTTGATGCTTGGAGAACATGCAAACTCCACTCAGAAAGACCTGGTTCCAACATGGTCATTACTTGATCATGCATCACATGATCAAGGGCGGCACGGTGGCTGAGTGGATAGCACTCTCGCCTCTCAGCAAGAAGGTCCTGGGTTCGAATCCCGGTCGGACCAGGGCCTTTCTGAGTGGAGTTTGCATGTTCTCCCCGTGTCTGCGTAGGTTTCCTCCGGGTGCTCCGGTTTCCCCTACCACTAAAAATATGTCCAATAGTTCTAGCATGCGCCTCCTGTACTGGCCCCGCTCCCATCTCTGTGTGGAGTGAGAGACAAATGCCCAAAATTAACAATTGTAAACCGCTTTGAGACTCAGATCTGCAGTGAAAAGGCTTACTTACTTACTTACTTACACATGCATCCTGAATCAAACCAAATGTGATATTTCTGAATCGCATCACGTCCACGTAAATCTGAAGATAGATCACGGCTCGACGGTTGGTGTAAGATCAATGATGTAGATTCTATAGCGTGGCCACACCTGCCCTACAGCGACAATTGTTTGTTCATTAACATTAATTAGTTAAAAAAAATCCCCATCTTAATGCCAGCAAACAACATTGATGGAGGTTTTTTGTTTTTTTCTTACATATATTTGGCAGCTACTACTTTGTCTAGCTGCCAGTGCGTTACACCGTGACTATAATTAGGAAATTCTAAGCAACCACGACTTCCAATGCCATGCCCATGATTATTACAACTGTCGCCGCAACTCCTTGTGGTACATGTTCAGTAATTAACCGCTGAATCGCAAATACAGCAAATTAAAATCTGCCCGTCTGCACATTGCTGTTCGGCATTATCACCATTTACATAACGACTCCCATAATTCCTCCAATCTAAAGGATGCTGGAGAGACGGAGGCAGATTTAGTCGTGTCCCGGCTCTTTGCATTAAAACCCTCCACATAAACACAAAAACATGGTGCGGGTTGCCAGGTACACAACTCCTCCAGGTGGTGCCAAGACTCAACAAGATTACAACATTTGGACAAGAGCGAGAGGACACGAGCCAAGCAGCGGGGGACTCAGCGAGGAGGGGGAGGACAATGGAGGGATTAACGTCGGCATATGTATGATCATGTAATTCTTTGATTAACAGTCATCGTTTAAGTTTTGTATTGTTCAAGATTCCCACCCGAACTTGGCCTAGATATAGCTTGGAACTGAAATCTTCCTCAATGGGACGTTTTCATCATTTGGTTTAAGGCACTTTTACCATAAAACTGAATCTCAACCATTTGGTAATGGTCTATATTTAAAAAAATTTAAAACTTCTATTAAAAAATATTTGAAAATTAAAAAAACATATTTAAATTGCTTTCTCCAAGGTGTGTACATACACGAAAAAATCGTTTTGTATAGTAGTAGTAATAGTATTTATATTTGAGCAGTTTTACAAGGTATTTTATATATTTTTTTACATGCCCATTTAATTCAAGAGCGAAAGAAAGCTCAAAAGGAGAAGGCAGAAGCAAAAAAGTATAAGAGTCTTCACCATCACACTTTTGTCACACTTCTGAACTCTCACCCTGTTAAAAAGTATGTTGTACTTTTTCTCTGTACTTTATACCGTACATGTGTTCACTTTCACAGATATATATATTCCGGAGCAGCTACATCCAGATTGTTCAATTCTTACAAACATTATCTTAGTATTGGATTTTTACTTTAATGTTATTTTGATTAGTCTAGTCAAAGTTAGTCTAAGTCTAAGTTTTAATGTCATGTCATGTCATTAATGTATATACTAGCAATAGAAGCTCTGTACAGTCTTGCATACAGTATAAAACTACATATTTATCTGTGTTGTGCATAATATCCTATTCTTGGTTAGATGCTAAACTCAATTTCCTTGCAATGTTTCTGACAACACAGTAAAATCAAATCCAATTCATCAATGTTGTACAGTTGTTGTTGTACAATTCCTGAACATCAACATGTGATTCATTGACTTTTAACAAAAATCACATGAACTATTGGAAAAATCACTCACAATTGGAGAACATGCAGTCCTAATGCAGAGATATGTTTCTGTTTCGCACCAAAAGCAGCTATAACCGAAGCGTTGTGTTTACAGATTACAGGCACCTAAGGGAGCCCTGTAGGGACATAATACAGATGTAAACAAACCAATGTCTTGATAATGTTTAGAGAAACTTCTAACACTTCTGCTTCAGGTCAGACCAAACACAGGGGTCTTTAGGAGTCTAGGAAGTTGAATTTACAATAGTCTTATTTTAAATTCAGAATGGGCTGTATTTATTATTTTTCAATATTCTAAAGCATGTAGTGTGAGGCCAATGGGGCGGCCAAACTACCATTGTGTCCTTATGCAAGACACTAAACCCACATTGCAGAGGATGAGTCTAGCGGTCAGGGGGGGGCTAATGGCACAGATTAGTAGCTTACTTCCGTCAGTCTGCCCCAGGACACCCGTGGCAGAGTGACGGGTGTAGTCAGTAGTTCACTATTTGCTTGAAATAAATAAATACATACAAAATAATAATAATGATATGGGTGTCATGTAAAGCTCTATACTGTATACTTAAGAACTACACTTTTTTTTAAACATTTTTTTATTTCTTCTGACATGTATGCCTTGGATTCGACTTTATACAGTTTATGAAATACTGCTGTTAATCCCAGAATACCATGTCAACTATAAATATTCTGTCAAATTAGTCTATGAGGCTCAGCCCTTCTACTCCTAGAAACACCTCCTACACACACACATACTATCAGCAATACTCCTATGCTGATACTACTATGACACATGCAGTACTACTAATACTGCAGAACTCTCAACAACATGATGAAGAAGCATAGTATCAAATGTGTGTATGTATTTTATGTTAGTGATTTCATATGATGTGAATGAGAGTATGTGTTGTCTGTGAGAGGTTGTAAGTGTGTGTGTGTGTGTGTGTGTGTGTGTGTGTGTATTGTACATTAATATTGTTGTCATTTGATTGTATGTTATTGTGTTGTCTTTTCATGTAAACAGGGACTGCAGATGGAAATTAGCTGTTGTGTAGGCTATTGTCTGGTGATGTTTCTTTGCACTGTCGCTTTCAAAAAAAGACTAAACTAAACTAAACAGTAATAAAAACATGGCTGAACCTTGACTGAACTGAAAAACCATATTGTCAAAGAGGCAAACACAAACACAGAAGTACTACTCACTTACAATCTCACGTTCACGTCTTACCCGGACTCAAAATAACTCTCAAGTCAGACTCGAAACCACAACAACATGGCTTTAGTCTGCGGCGCTTCCAAAACGCGTGTCACTGTCAAAGCAATAAATCGTAAAATGAAATCTCCACTCACCACTCTCGCTCTTCTCGATCACGTCCACCGTCTCCCCGGCTTTGAGGTTGATTTCCGAATTCTCCTGCCGCTCGTAGTTGGCCACCGCCACGTACTGCTCCAGAACCATGGGCTCCGAGTTGTCAATGCCTAAGGGGTAAAAACAGGCAGTGAACCACCTCCCTTTGGCCCGGCCGCTGCACCCCAACACCCCACCGCTCCTCCCGGCAACGTGGACCCGGGACAAGGCCATGACGAGCCCCCCACCCCTCAGACCAATCAGATCTGGCAACACTCCGCCGGCATGGCCCCAAAAGTTTGCTCATAACATAGCTGAGTCAACCCCCGTCCCATATTGGCGCAAGCAGCAGCAGCATTGACATCAAAACAAAAGCTTAGAATTGTCCATAAACGTTCCATAAGTGATCCATTTTTGGGGTTTTTAAAGAAAAGTCTAGCCATAAAAAATCCAATTAGGGTGAAGCGACTGTGGTGTGATTGTGTCGGAAGAGGACCGTAAGGGAATGTGACTGGAAGAATAGTGAAAAGTTTCGTCTGTGGAAAATCAACAGTGCCTCCCCCTCAACGGCTTTTGGGAGGAAGGGGGGGAGAGAACGCACGCTAACCACCGCTGGCCTTAAATAGAAACATATGAGTGGACTAGAAAGACACAGAGAGAGAGAGAGAGAGAGAGAAGGGGGGTAATAGGAAGAAGTTAGGCAGGGATGTTTATAAGGGGTGGCCATGAAAGGGAATGACCACCATTGAAATGTAATGGGCAAAAATTGATCAAAAATAAGTAATGTTTTGACTCCCTTAAAACAAGATCTGCCAATCAGTTTTAAGAAGATACAAGAAATGTCTACCTTGGAAGGAGAAAATAACGCAATTTTTTTTATTACCTCATATTTTACCATTTTTTGCAGTGCACCACTCAAAGATTATGTTGAATGATTGTATATGTTGAAGAGTATACAATGAACAATAGCCAAGAGGAGAGATGCATTGTACCAGGTTGTAGCAGTCGTGCAAACTTACAAAACTACTTACTAGCAAAAGAAGACGGATGCATGACTATACATTTATAAAGCAGAAATTAATTAACTTAATTTACCATACAAGTTATGATAAAACTACCCTGCCCCCATTCTTCAATGAGGGCAGGGTATTTCCACAGATTCTCGATTGAATTCAGGTCTGGACTTTGACTTGGCCATTCTAACACCTGGATACGTCTATTTGTGAACCATTCCATTGTAGATTTGGCTTTATGTTTTGGATCATTGTCCTGTTGGAAGATAAATTTCTGTCCCAGTCTCAGGTCTTTTGCAGACTCCAACAAGTTTTCTTCCAGAATGGTCCTGTATTTGGCTCCATCCATCTTCCCATCAATTTTAGCCATCTTCCTGTCCCTGCTGAAGAAAAGCAGGCCCAAAGCATGATGCTGCCACCACCATGTTTGACAGTGGGGATGGTGTGTTCAGGGTGATGAGCTGTGTTGCTTTTACGCCAAACATATCGTTTTGTATTGTGGCCAAAAAGTTCGATTTTGGTTTCATCTGACCAGAGCACCTTCTTCCACATGTTTGGTGTGTCTCCCAGGTGGCTTGTGGCAAACTTTAAACGAGACTTTTTATGGATATCTTTGAGAAATGGCTTTCTTCTTGCCACTCTTCCATAAAGGCCAGATTTGTGCAACTGATTGTTGTCCTATGGACAGACTCTCCCACCTGCAGCTGTAGTTATCATCCAGAGTGATCATGGGCCTCTTTGCTGCATCTCTGATCAGTCTTCTCCTTGTTTGAGATGAAAGTTTGGAGGGGCGGCCGGGTCTTGATAGATTTGCCGGGGTCTGATACTCCTTCCATTTCAATATAATTGCTTGCACAGTGCTCCTTGAGATGTTTAAAGCTAGGGAAATCTTTTTGTATCCAAATCCGGCTTTAGACTTCTCCACAACAGCATCTCGGACCTGCCTGGTGTGTTCCTTTGTCTTCATGGTTCTCTCTGCGCTTTAAACAGAACCCTGAGACTATCAAAGAGCAGGTGCATTTATACGGAGACTTGATTACACACAGGAGCATTCTATTTATCATCATCAGTCATTTAGGACAACATTGGATCATTCAAAGATCCTCACTGAACTTCTGGAGTGAGTTTGCTGCACTGAAAGTAAAGGGGCCGAATAATATTGCACGCCCCACTTTTCAGTTTTTTATTTGTTAAAAAAGTTTAAATTATCCAATAAATTTCGTTCCACTTCATGATTGTGTCCCACTTGTTGTTGATTCATGACAAATAAATAAAATGTTATATCTTTATGTTTGAAGCCTGAAATGTGGCAGCATGTTGAAAAGGTTCAAGGGGGCCGAATACTTTCGCAAGGTACTGTACTTTTGTAGAATGTGAGTCAAAGACTGTAGGGAGATTTGGGATGTCGGTCGTCCATCTTGGCTCCAAAAATGTGAAATCACACCCTTAAAACCACATGTACTATCTTCTTCATTCAACACACAGGATGAGACCATAAAGGGGGACTGCCATATTATCTACGTTTGTACATTTTCATTCAATAACTGACAGGTACTGTACATGACCTCAACGGAACACCAGCCTGAGGCCACTCCAGTGAAAAAAGTCTGGACACACCACATGGGGACGAGAGAAGGAGCGAGCGAAGAGAGCATAAGAGCCTGAGATAAGAAATTGGAAAAAAGGCGAGCGAGTCTAGCCGCTGGGTTTTTGTCTTTTAGTAACATGCTAAGGCCAAACTCATGACCTTAACCTTTTCAGTGCTAGAGATGTATTATTGTATTTCGCTCTCGGCTGCAAACAAACCGATTTGATCCAACGCGAGGATGACTCACAAAGCCCTGCAAGAAACTTAAGCCGTTGCGCTGTTGCTATTGGTGACCTGAGAAGTCTATGTCGTGAGGAAGTTCATTCGAGGTCTTTGGCGTAAACATGAATATGGTCCAGCTATAATCACACAGTAATGAACGGCATCAAAAGGACATTGTGAAACGATAACAGTTGACATTTGGTTTGGACCGCGCGGTTTCGCTAATGCAGTCAGAGCGATCGTTAAAAAGAAAATACACTGAAGGGGGATTATTTCTCAGGAAATAATATCAATCAATCAATCAACTTTATTTGTATGGCGCCTTTCCAACACAAGGCCACTCAAAGCGCCTCACAACCCACATAATATCACACAAATCAGAGACATCAATAAATACATTAAAAACAGAATAAAATCACAAGTAATGAAAAAAAAAATAAAAATAAAAAATATTAAAAGCACACACGGGATTAAAATAATAAATAACCACAATGCATTAAAAAAAAAAAAAAAGAGTATGTATCAATAAAATCCTTCAGCCGTATGCACAGCTAAAAAGAACAGTTTTTAGCCCTGATTTAAAAATTGCCAGAGTAGATGCTAGCCTCACATCTTCAGGAAGATTGTTCCAGATTTTAGCTCCATAAATCTCAAACGCTGCCTCCCCATGTTTAGTTCTGACTCTTGGAACCAGTAAGAGGCTACCTCCTGTGCTCCTCAGAGTCCGGGCCGGTTCATATGGGACTAACAAGTCGCTTAAGTACCCTGGTGCGAGGCCATGGAGAGACTTGTACACAAGCAGTGCTGCTTTGAAGTCTATTCTCTGAGCCACAGGAAGCCAGTGCAGAGACCTGAGAACTGGACTAATGTGGTCATATTTCCTGGTCCTGGTCAGGACTCGAGCTGCAGCATTTTGGACATACTGCAGTTGTTTTACAGCCTGTTTGGAGAGACCTGTGAGCAGGCCATTGCAGTAGTCTAACCTACTGGAGACAAATGCATGGATGAGAATCTCCAGATCTGATTTAGACACTATGTTTCTAATTTTGGCAATGTTTTTCAGATGGTAAAATGCTGCTGATGTTACTGATTTGATATGACTGTTAAAATTTAAGTCTGAGTCCATTATAACTCCTAGGTTTCTGACCTTGCCTACAGGTTCCAGGGAGAGAGACTGGAGGTGACGAATAACGCTCTCTCTTTGTTTCTGAGGACCAAAGACAATCAATTCTGTTTTGTCTGCGTTTAGCTGAAGGAAGTTATTTTGCATCCAATCACTAATCTGTTGAGTACAGTGAAGGAGTGATTCCACTGGTCCATGTTCTCCTGCAGTAAGTGAGACATAAATTTGAGTGTCATCAGCGTAATTGTGGTAGGATACATTGTTGGAGCGTATTAACTGACCTAACGGCAGCATGTAAATATTGAACAGAAGAGGCCCCAGAATTGATCCCTGTGGCACTCCGCAGGTCAGAGCCATATGATCTGAGACACAGCTTCCCATCTGAACCAAGTATTTCCTGTCTTCTAGGTAAGACCTAAACCAACTTAGGGCAGTCCCAGTGACACCCACCCAGTGCTCTAGTCTAGCGTGTGTCATTTCGCTGGAAAGTTGAGTAACAATAGGATGGCTTAATATTTAATTAAAACGTGCTTATTTTTCTCATTGCATTGTATTTATAAGAGGAAGGCTTCAAATGGATGTTTAATTCCAAAGGATGGCAATAAATCAATAGTGCATCTGAAAAAAAAACAGACTAACAATTGTACAATGGCGAAAGTGGCCATTATGAGTGACAGGGTGTCAACAAAACAGTACAGTACAACAAAAAATATATATTCGAAAAAAGAACAGAAAAAGACATTTTTAAAAGTCCCAATGCACAAGGACAAACTACAATTTGTAGTTCTGCAAAAACTACAGATACTGCTTGCATTGACAAAAAAAATCACCAAAGGTACCACAAACTAGTACATTTAGACGGATTGGCCAATGATTAAATTTCTTTTTAACTATTCATAATTACGTTTTAGATTCATGTTTTAGAATAGAGTAAATTACAATTCAATGAAATCTTGAAAAAGAAAAAAAAAACTAGCTTTAAAATGAGATGAAACATGCCAGGCTTCCTCTAACCTAGCCTGGCCTTATCCATCCGTACACTCCGCTCAATCATCATTTTCCTGCATGTAACGTCTGGGTGTGGTCCCTGTGTTTGTGATTACAATCAGTTAAATTACATCTGACCAATCAGTGAGCGCGGGAGGCGGGTGTTGTACCTAGATGTGGGTGACGTCCAGAGTTTGCACCGAACGGGCAGGTTGTCGTTGGTTGTCGTTGGTTGTAGTTTGGCAATGGCGAAGAATACAATATTCTATATATAGCAAATGTAATCACTGGCAAAGATTGTGGTGCTACTCCCCACGGGCTCCGTTAGCGGCAAAAGAGATGACTAGGCTAAATGCTAAATGCTAATGACTCACTCGGGCGCACTACATACGTCACAGTAAACTCAGATCCAATCGTTTCAATCTGCAAAAGGAGTTAAACCCTCCCACCTGTAAACAGAGCTCAATGGAGCACCTCCAGACCTTAGTACGAAATGTAATTTGTACTATGGTGTGGTACGACCAGGCTACCTCTAACCATCAATGCTGCAAGTTTATTATTATTTGACACCTGTGCTACATGATTATGTCTCATGGTCAGCAATAAACATTATTTCAAACAATTAAAGGCAATTTAAGTTGCTATCATCACCTTTAAAGTGAATCTCGATAACGGTCTGAATTCTGGATCTTGTGAATCTCTGTGGAATATTTGAGGGTCACTGTTATTATTTTTATTTATCACTCAAAGTGAACATATTTATTTTATTTGGAATAAACAGTGGAATCTCTTTGACTGGATACGGTGAAATAGGTTTAAATAATTCGAATAGTGATAAGTTAAATTGCAAATGCATCATAATCAGTAATAATTGTCCCCTCACATATATTTTGATACACAATCAATAAAGTAAACATTTTGACGCAGACACATCATACACACAACAGACACACAACAGCACGATCGTATCAGGGGGAATGGGGTCATAAAAACACACACGTGGATTCACATCTTGCCAACGTCGGTCATGCTTATATGAAAGTATAGGTGAGCGCAGGTCTGGGCAGCACATGGGAAAAAGCTAAAATATGGAACAATAAACATGGACCAAAGGGAGAAGGTAAACTCTAAAAACATGTGCCGTAAGTCAGACGCAACTATCGTCAAGTGCCTCGAAGCCCACTGTTCATAACAATGAAATTATTCTATTTTAATGATATTGGTATTGTTATAATTTATCATTTTCATGTTCTAAAAGCGCCCCCTAGTGGCTTATGGCGTCCTGTACAAAATGCTTTAAAGAGAAACAGAAGAGAGGAAACTTTACACCATTTTTTTATTTAACCGAGTCTATATGTTTTCCATCTCTGTAGGAACGGAAGAGAGAAGGGTCTTTATATAGCAGGCCGCCGCAAGTGCCTGTTGTAAAAAAAAAAACACTGAACTCTCTCTAACTGGATTTCACACAGACTTATGGAAGAAAACTTAGTGGCAGTCAAGCGTTAATGGACTTATTTTCAATACAGATCAGCAAAATGTTGAAACTCCATTGTTTGCTCCAACAAGCTAACAGCTAAAGTTCTTACTCTGGGTCTCTCAGCAATTCTTCGTCCGGCAGAGGGAAATATTAAGTTTTGAGTTTGAGACACATTTAAATAACAATAGACTCTAAATTTAATTACGGATAAGGTAAAGGTCTGGATTAAACTAGTCTCCTGCAGGACAAAATATGTATTATTATTTTTTTATTTACTTTAATTTGAGGATCTGAATTTCACAATGTCGTACATGTTTTGAACCGAGCACAAGGTTTTAGCAGATGTTGCGCAAAACAAAGAAAGTAAGGGAAGTAAATAAACTTTGACGCAGGAATAGGCAGAAGCATAAAATATGAATAACATGTTAAAGGTATATAGGAGGATTTTCCCAAATTTCTTTTCCACTTTTTGAACAAAACTCTTTGGTCTTATTTGATGAGCATGTATCACCAGAATGACTGACAATTGTAGTAGACAATCCTCCTATAGACCAGTACAGCAAACAGTCTTGTATCAATATTTCCTTAAATGCTTTTGTCTGTCGTCCAGGACCTGTGTGTGTGTGTGTGTGTGTGTGTGTGTGTATGTGTGCGTGTGCGTGTGCGTGCTTGTGTGTGTGTACAAATGAATCAGTTTTTCTCGTCAGCGTGAGAAAAACGGTTTGCCTCCAGTAGTTAATCTGTTGCTTTAAGACCATACCTGTAGGATGGCTTGTAACTCAGCTTCCCTGGTGGGCTACGGTTGTGTGTTCTTTAGGCTAAATGCAGTAGGAAAGTAAATAGCAGTAATAAGCCTAGTTGCAGAGCGCCATGAAAGCCGGCCCGAGGCTGTAAACTCCGGTGAATCATCCACAAGCTTAACACCCCGTGATAAATTAGAGGAAATAGCCATTTTTTCAAGGGCATAAACATATCATTTACATGTCTCACTGGCTTGAGTATCAATTGGATGCGGGACAAGACATAAATATTACAATGTTTATGACAGGTTAAAAAAAAAATTGTATGACCTATTTGAATCAGAGTTCCCCATTGTCTTTGAATAAAACCTTTACAGATGTGAAATATTACCCCGACAGTTGCTACTAATACATAGCAAATACAGAACGTTGTAAATATTGGTGTATTTTTAAGCAACTAACGGAACAAAACAACAAAACTTTTACTCAACAGGACGTTCAATTCCAAAATCGCAACCAGATGGACCAATATGTGGCTGTATGTGTCATTTCTGCTACATCTCTCGAGCAGCCGTCCGTGGCTCAAACCAAACAATTACTGACAAGAAATGTTTTTCAATTTAACGTGGGGTTGGACACACTTATAGTTTTAATAAGACTTAAAGCCGGGGTACCTATCCTATGGTTTTTACACAAATAATACATTTCTTTTCCATCAGAAATAGTCTTATAAAAATAAAATTTTGGGATGAAAACAACCCGTCTTCCTGCTTGTTTTGGCCTGATTTCTTCCCTAAATTGTACTTTTACAAGACTATTTCTGGAGGAAAATAGATAACGAAAGATAAAAACTTGTTATATTTTGTTTACTTGTAAGAAAGAACCTTGTGAGTCACTATTTGACGCTTTGGGCTGAGAGCTGATTGGCTGAATGAGGACAGTCCTTTCGTTTTTCACTTGTATGTCTGAAAAAAGTGATCTAAAATGTGACAGAGGCTAAACATACATAGCATTGCATTGAGTGCATTGAGTATGGTTTGAAACTTAGGTGCCCCGGCTTTAAATAATACAAACAGTGCCACATGGTTCCCCAGCTTTAAATTACACATCGTTACAAATACATTATGCAAAGTCGATTCCACACTCACTATTTTCCTCTTTTTTGGTTGCACTTAAATACATAAGTCTTTCTACTCTGGGGGAATGTTCCAATTTGCCACCAGACATTTTTTTGCTACCTCACTTTAAGCCAAAACCTAAAAGAAGTCGGTAAAAATATGTCTGCTTTGAAGATTTTTGCGGAGGACTTGATTTTTATCTTCCATTGCCGTCTGCTTTGGTCAGTGCAGTCTATAGGGATTGATGGATAGATGAAAAGGCTGGATTTGACCAGATGGGCACATGCAAAGGACATATGGAGAAAACTGCTGAGGTGGATAATGGAAAAAAAAAGTTGGTATTTTAGTGTCGGAATGCAGAGGGAAAAGAGAATTCTGTGTTTTTTTTATCTTTTCTTTTTGGTGACTCAATTAGAAACGGTCCTTCTACTGTATGTCTCACACAGCAGGAGGTTGATGGGCTTACAGTGTGTAGTTTTAACAGACTTTGCTTCAGTCCTTTTTCATGTCAAGCATTTTGATGTGAAAGATTCATTACAGCAGTATGTGCTGCAAGGTGTTTTCAGCCATAAATATAAAAACATAATAATTACAACAATACAATAATTTTGATTTTCTGTTGGTGGGATGTAGGGTCAGAGTGTAGTGGCAATATATACAAAGAAATTCATAATAAAGATAAAATAAAATAAAACATGCATATACACACATACAAACACACACACATACAAAACTGTACATGTTTTTAGTGGAAGGAAAAATTAGAGCACCAGGAACAAACTTACGCAGATACAGGGAGAACATGCAAACTCCACTCAGGAGAGGGAATCAAATCTAGGACCTTCTGGCTGATAAGCGCGAATGCTAACCACTCAGCAAGTGGTGATTATTTATGATTTTAATGCCTTGGGTTTGTACACTGCAAAAAGTAATAAACAGAAAGTCAAAAATTGCACAAATCTTGCAAAACGTGTTTTAATTTGAGCAAAAAATAAGACACGTCTGACTGCCTTAATACAAGATTTTCCAATGGGACAAACAAAATGTTTTTAAAATAAACAAGAAATGTCTCACTTGGAATGAGAAAAACAATGCAACAGTACTAGAAATAAGACTAAACGGCTTTGTCCCATTGACAAATCTGGTTTTATTCAGAATACTCAAATCAAGATAAAAAATAACCATTTGATTTAAGCAATTATTACCTCACATTTTATCACTTTTTGTAGTGTATCTTGTTCTGTTTCCTTGCAAATGAATTTTGCAATACAATTAAACTTGCCTTGCCTTACTATATCTCACTTTGCATTAGTTTCAGTTTTGTAATATATTCTCAAACTTTCAGACATGTATGCCATCGTCACAGTCTAAAGGATTAGTCCACACACTGTATAGTCAGAATCCCCAGCAGTTAGATGCAGTTATTTCATCGTTCCATTTCTAACAGCTCAAATCAAGCTCACAGTAGAGAATATGAGAGGAGACTGAGGGATACCTGAGGCCTCTTTCCGGGGGCTGTCGGTGAAGCCGTACATCCAAACTGCAGCAGACAGAGAGAGGAGGAGAAAGACACATTATTCAGACTGACAGCAGCAGGTTGAGCGGTGCAGACGCCATTGGAAACAACAAAAAAGAGGTGAATGAGACTGGAGCAAGCCGAGCACATTTCTCGTATCTGCTCGAGTTTTTTCATCATCGCTAGAGAGAGAAACCTATTGCCGGAATAACAACTTGTCATGTGTGTTGGGGGTGATGGGTGTCATTGATGGCAGGACTAAGGAAAATGGTCTAACCAGGGGCATTAACTCAAGAAATGGCTATTTATTTTATATTTTTAACAATGATACTGACTATGGCTATAGCCTTGTCACAATAATATATCAAACAATAATCAATTTATCTTCAATAATTAATGGTAAGAACAATATAATTCATGTATTGTATTTTGTCTTTTTTGTTTGTGTTGTGTGCCCTTTATCTGCTTTGTTTTTTCTGTATTTTGGACTTTGTATTATTGGCTATTTTTGTTGTTTATGCTGTTGTTAGTGCTTTTTAAATACTGTTTTTATAAAGTCCAATTATGTATAAGCACATTTTTTTATGGTTTTTCATTCTAGTGTTTATTTTCTCACCGCAGGCTTTTTAATGAAATACAGAAAATGAAAAAAATCCTGCCATTTTGTTGCTATGTTGTTTTTGTTGGATTGGCAAAAAAGTAGATTTTTCTTATTCTTTCATGCCATTGTCCTGAAACATTTATATCGACCATCTGAATGTGTTTTCTGAACAGGCCGAACTATACCACACTAGTATGGCTGGGGAATGGAAGAAATTCATCCATTCATTTTCTTCTGATTTTTCCGTTGCCGGGTCGCAAGGGCAGCAGAACAGATGCCCAAACAGATGCCAGAGCCACCTCAATCTTGATTCAATAGAATATAGACAGTATGCAATGAAAACATGTTAAACTATCTTACAATTTAAGATTCAAAATATGATCAAATCCTACGTTAAGTTAAGAGAGAAACAGTATTGGATTTGTATTTGTTAATGAAAAGAAGATATTGTATTAAGATTGGGTTTCGGCTTTAAAAAAGTCTGTGTGTTCATCCTTCACTTGTTCTTCATGTGACTGTGATATTACAAAAGAACGAATGCAATGAAATAAAATGAAATGAAAACAGTTCTCTGCCGTCATTATGTCTAATACGTTTGCAGTGTCTGGATCCTGTGGGTGTGGGCCACTTCTAATGCTGTGGCCTTCTGTGACCCCCCCCTTCCTCCTCCTCCTCCTCCTCCTCCTCCTCACGGACTCAGGAAATGAACTGTGCTGCATCAGGACAGAAGGACAGGCGAGGTGAGAGGGAGAGAGAGAGAGAGAGATAGAGGGAGAGAGACAGTTAGAGAGAGAGAGAAAGGCGGATAGAGATAGAGCCAGAAAGTCAGAGACACAGACACAAAGAAAGACATAGAGAGATAGAGAGAGAGAGAGAGAAAGACAGAGATAGATGGACATAGAGAGAGAGAGACAGAGAGAGGGGATAGACAGAGAAAGAGAAAGACAGACTGAGAGAAATAGAGAGACAGAGAAAGACAGAGAGAGCCAGAAAGAGACAGAGAAAGATAGAGACTGAGAGAGAGACAGAGAGAGCGAGAGACACAGAAAGACAGAGAGAGCCAGAAAGAGACAGAGAAAGACAGAGAGAGCCAGAAAGAGACAGAGAAAGACAGAGAGAGCCAGAAAGAGACAGAGAAAGACAGAGAGAGCAAGAAAGAGACAGAGAAAGACAGAGAGAGCCAGAAAGAGACAGAGAAAGACAGAGAGAGCAAGAAAGAGACAGAGAAAGACAGAGAGAGCCAGAAAGAGACAGAGAAAGACAGAGAGAGCTAGAAAGAGACAGAGAAAGACAGAGAGAGCCAGAAAGAGACAGTGAAAGACAGAGAGAGCCAGAAAGATAGATTCTGGTCACAGATACCCGGCCTCTCACTGTGAGGAATGTGTCATAACAGTTTATTTGTGAGACTCTCGAGGGATAGTGGATGTTTTCCGTGGATGTGAAAAAGAAAATGTATGTATATGGAATGGACAATACACGATTCACGCCTTACATTGTGTGCACTTGTATATTGTAAATAGTAACTGTAACTCTATTTTAAATTTAAATGTATTCCTTAGAAGTGTTTTTTATTCTTTTTCATTTTTTATTATCTCTTTCTGACTGTTGCACTGAGCCAAAGCAATTTCCAAATCTGTGACTTGCTGTTACTTACGTGGAAATAAAAATGATTCTGATTCTGATTCTGATGATTCAATGAGCTTAAGTCAGACCGAGCCCCAAATCATGATCACATAGAGAGATTAAAAAGTCTATCGGAAAGACAATCCGAACCAATGAGTCTTTAGTTTAGTTCCATTTATAGGGAGCACCGTCTGCATCAGTATGTTTTTTGCCAACGCAGGAAGGTCTAAGGACACTTTTTAGTCTCCAGAGAACCAGGAAGAATAGCTACTGTATATATCAGTCGCTAATGGGGATATAAATAAACAAGAGCAAGAGTGAGATTGACGCACACATCCAATTCAAAGTAGGGTCGATTTTAATTCTCACCACACAATGTATGATATAAATAAACAAACAAACAAACAAGAAATGGTCTACCCTCCCTTTCTGTTGTAAACATGTATATTGTGTTGTTTGGAAATGTCAAAGACTGGCCTGAAATGTGGTGTAGCCTACACATTTTCTTTTTTTTCTTTCTGTTTTTCTATTATCAAATGCTGTCTGTCCTTGCAGAGAGCACTATGTGAATACAGAACTTTAAGACAAAGAAGATAGATGGCATTTGTAGCTAAACATGAAAAGGAAGAGCCATGCGAGAAACAATGGACACAAAAACGTGCATTCAGGTTTGTACTTATTTTGTGATTTGTAGCACAAGTTGACAGCCAAAAAATAGTAAGGGGTTTCTCAAATGATTTAGACTAATTTTGGTGTTCTGAGTCCGAATATCACATGCATTTTGCTCTATCAGGTCAACTTTTTGAGATACAGCCATAGTGTTACGGATTACGTACGTCTACGTTATTATGAATTCTGCTTATCAAATTTGATGGAGTAAATAAAAACTGAATGACTTTGGATACGTTGACTTTTATTTCTTCAGGAAAACGGAAAAAACGTCAAGGGTTTCTCAGCTGATGATCCGCGGAAATTTGTTTTTTTACGCAAAATCGATTTAAAAACATATTTCTGTAGAAAAAAATCCTGACCTGATTGAGCAAAACCAAGGTCATTTTAAGACTCGGAGCATCAAAATTAGTCTAATTCAGCTGAAAAAAACCCTGGACTATTTTCAAAACATATTTTTTTGTTACCCAGTGTAATGTAAAGTTGTTATAAATTGAAACAAGTTTATTGTGTGATAAAATACACACAATATACCATTGACTGTATTCCATGAGCTGCCCAGACTAAAGTGTAAGACAACGCAGGAATTTACAGCAGAAAGCAATGCAACTGGGAATATTAAGTGTTTTAACTGTTAAAAGCAAGTTGGTAAGTTAATCTTTAATGCAATGCCCACGATAATTAATACAAAACGATCAAATGTCACGTCAAATTCCTGAGATTTGCTCGAGCAGAAATCATTAACAGAGACAGTGGGACGTTGATGGGGTGAATATTTGCCCAAAGATACAGATCACTACATACAGGGACAAACTCAAAGAAAAATGAGAAGTAGAAATATGCGTGATTAAAACGTCAGACATGGGTACACATTAGTAAGCACACAGCAGTAATTCTCTAAACATTAGGGAGGGGACAAGACCCAAGACAAGACAAGATTCGGCTTTTTGACAGCATTCTTTGTGAAGCTTTCAGACGCATTGTGTAACTTTGTCATCGCACTCAATTTTTGGCTTTGGGTAATTGTGAATAATACTGCTATCACACACATCTGTAAAAACACACTTTTGGCAAATCTAAGGATGCATTGGTTTGTTGTAGCACTTTTTGGACACTCAAAGACCCTTAACATAGCAACTGTTACTGCTACTGTAGCCACAGCTGCCCTGGGACAGACCACCAATAATTCACACACACACACACACACACACACACCCACACACACACACACACACACACACACACACACACACACACACACACACACACACACACACACACACACACACACACAAACTAGACTCACAGGCAATGTGGGTTAACTGATGTGACTGGTTGAAAAATGGGACACAGACTGAGTGTATGGAAAAAAGCAAGATATTACAAACTTTCAATACATATTAAAAATACATTTTTTGAGGCATTTAAAGTAAAACTGATAAAAATGTACAAGTTACCTACACTAATTTCTCTGGACTAACACACATGGCCCAGACCATTCTCCCCACACCCACCTCACTCAAAACACAGTACATTAAAGTGGAAGCATGACGCAAGATTCAGCAAAGGTTTTGTCCCTTCAGCCATATCTGCTCTTAACAACCTGTAATGTTAGGGTTATGACTCTTCAAATGAGATTATGAATGTTTTTGCTGAGTTTCTCACTTGTTCTGAACTCTGGAGGTACTGGAAAATTTACAGAATTTTGTAAATATTGTGTGTTTTTGTGTTTTTTTGTCTGTATTTTAGTTGTCTGTTTGTGTGTTATATAGACTCTTGTGTGTATGAATTAAAGATAAAACAAAAATAGATACAATATTGAATGTGTGTTGTTGTGTATTATTTTGTTGCAATTTCCTTCTTGTATGTATGTGACTGTGTCTGTTGAAATTCATTTCCTTCAGAGGACAATAAAGGTCTATCTATCCATCTATTGGTTGGCCGAGACGTGTGAAATGCACCTGCAGAGCAAAATCTCACGGTTCTTTTTGAAATGAAACAGCTGAGGTAAGAAACAACCTTATTCTTTGTTTATTCCAACACAAAGCAACCACGTAACTCTCCCGAGCTCTCAGAGTAGAGGGCGCAAACAAGGACACAACAACAGTTTGGCACTTTACAGCTGCCCCACTGTGGCACCTGGTGTTTCCAGAAGTCTCCCATCAATACTAACCAGCCCCTGCCACGCTTAGCTTCAGAGATCATACGGTACCTGGCTCTCACGATGGGATCTGGCTCTCACATGCAGGTGGCACCACAATACAATTCAAATGTAGTGAAGTAACACAACACTTTTTACTTATAACCAAAACAAACCATGTTCTGATAAGTTTGGACGGGAGGGACTGAAATACAGGATTGTGACTATCTAATACCCCAAATATACATATACTATTACAATTGGCTGTTTCCCATGCATGTAAGTCATAAAATATCATTCTAAAAACATAATAATAGTAATAATAATAACTTTATGGAGTGTATTCACTTATTTTTGTCTAAATGTTCTAAATGATCTCTTATCTCACCTTTATGTTTGCCATATATGTCAAGTTTGTTCTGGAAATGATTGGTCCTTTCAGCCCTTTTTAATAATGTTGTGTACAGTCCACACGTCATGAAACTTCAAAGTAGAAGGTGTTTACATGAGAAACCAGCCCAGCCATATCCAAACATGGCTTCCTCTCCCATGAGCCTCTGCCTTTCTCTTTATGATCCATATTCACGCTGAGAAACTAACACTTCTCCATGTGCCATAACAACTCCCAAAATCTCCACCCAGCTTCCCCCAGAGCCACTGGAGCTTAGTGGGATTGAAGTCGGCCCAGAGGAGAGCTCAGGGCTGGTCCCAGGTCAGCGAGGGTCAGACCCACCTCTTTTCATATTTCTATACGATCACTCACCATGCCTCTCACATCTGAGCAGTGTAGGCAACGTCAAAAACCCAGGTTTGCGGGCTAAATCCGGCCAGCAAGACTATTTTTAGTGGCCCCTAACATGATTTTCAATAACAAACTTGCAGTATTGACGGTAATGCACTACCAAGGCATGTCATACACCATCTATGTTCTCAGGAAAGCAACCAAATTGAATTTGTTCAAAAATCATTAGAAGTTGAAGAGTTAGATGAATATTTTGTCCACTTTTGGTTAATTCCATGCCAAATGTGACATGTAAATTTCTCCTCCTTGTGAGATAAATAAAGAATATCTTATCTTATCAATTATCTAAACAATTAAATTCCGAAAAATCACGCAAAAGTAATTGCAAAACATAAACTTTTAAGTGTCATGAAAGAAGTCTTGTCAAAATTCCTTCAGGATGTAAAAAAAAAACAATTATAAGAAAAGGATATCCGTTGTATTCTCTCTGTGCCTATTTTTCTGACCAAAATTAGTTTGACTCCCCAGCTCTTTAGGGCATAGTTCAGAGCACATACTGTATATGTACAAGCACAAAACTCACATCAGTGGACTCAAGGTTAGTGCAAATTTAAATGGATCAAAATTCTCCAGTGCTATAGACTGTAAATGAAACATGCTATAATGAAGCAATAAGTATTAATTCTGTTTATTTTGCCACATGGACAAGATGGCATCTGTCAATGGTGTCTTGTGTTGGTCCAAGCCCTCGTCCTGTTTCCAACTTCTCTCCTGGTGCTCCTTATGGTGGAAGGACCTCCGTTCCACTTCCTCCACTGCTGACTCTTCCTCCACCCGTTCTCACAGAAACCATGGAACACACACTTCCCAATGATGCTGGCTATGACCCTTGATGACGGGTCAGACAGCGTGATGGTAACTCTCTGATTTTCCAGGTATGGTAGAGGTCTTTGGTATGGTTGAGCATATATGTGCATCGGAGCAGTTTGATAGTCTCTCATACCTTGTCTCTGGTATGGTAGATAAGGCCTCTGGTATGGTAGACAAGGCCTCTGGTATGGTAGACACGGTCTCTGGTATGCTAGAAAAGGCCTCTGGTATGGTAGAAAAGGCCTCTGGCTTTGTAGAAAAGGTCTCTGGTATGGTTGAGGTTGCCACACGTATGGTAGATAAGGCCTCTGGTATGGTAGACACGGTCTCTGGTATGCTAGAAAAGGCCTCTGGTATGGTAGAAAAGGCCTCTGGCATGGTAAAAAAGGCCTCTGGCATGGTAGAAAAGGCCTCTGGTATGGTTGAGAATGTATTTGTATTTGAGCAGTACCACCTCGTCTCAGGTGTGGTTGAACAGGTCTCTGGTGTGGGAGAGAGACCTGGTCTGCTTGTGCCTGCTGGGCTTGTGATCCATGCTGGCTCCCCTCGACCTTCTTGAACTTCTGAAGCTGCTGCCTGGAGTCTCCGTGTCTCTCTCTGATGCCGCCCTGATCCATCAGAAACTCCATGGTACTGCTGTCTTCCGCTGGTTTGGGCTCCACCTCTGGACAACTCTGTGGCGTATCCCCAAAGCACATTAAGGAATTTTGATGGGTGGCTTCTGCAATAGTGAGGCGTTCCATCGCTGGCAACAGCTCCTCCAGCATCATGGCCAGTGTAGTTTTGGAGGTAATGAGACGCGGTGAGAGGGTTCAGGCAGTCTTCCTGGCAGTAGCTCCTCTTACAGCTCTCTGGTCTCTCCACTGATGAACTGATGGCCTCCTATTGACCTCCTCATGTTGTAGATAAAGACAAGTTACTATTGAATAGATATTTGAATACTTTGTTGTGGCAACAGTTCTTGGCAAAGGAGATGGTCACCGTGGCAACATTATCAAACAGCTGCATAAGAGATTCAAAAATACAGTAAAAGATGATTTTAAGAACTTTTTTTTTATATATTGTTGATTGCCCGGTTATTAACAGACATGCCAGTCCCTCATTAGTATCATCACTGTGGGGATCAGATAAGAAAATCCTTACATACAAATACAGTACATACAAACAATGCAGAAAATGACTAGAAATTCTAGAAATAATACCAACACAATCTGAATACATTATTTTCAGTTTGGCTTTGTCATAGTAAGTACAATTACTGTGGATATTTGCCCTCTCACTCCAAGTGGGAGCGGGGTCATCGTACAGGAGGCGCATGCCAGACCTAAACCAGAGCACCCGGAGAAAACCTACGCAGACACGGGGAGAACATGCAAACTCCACTGAGAAAGGTCTGGAGGTGGAATCATACGCAGGCTAACCACTAACCACTACCCCACCGTACCGCAGCCAAACAATAATACAAACATAATAAAGGTAATATCACTACAAACAATCTCTCTTAAAGTAAAAATTGACTTGGCATGTTCGATAACCTTTGTGGGTCGTAGCACACCATCACACGGCACAGCTCAAGCGGAAACTGATACAGAAATGAATCTCTACGGCAGGGGTGTCAATCTCGTTTTGGTCGGGGCCAAATTATAAAACATAAGAGCTGATTGGAGCAAGGACTATAACAGTGGTATAACAGTTTTATTTATTTTGAAAAATTAAGTACCTACAGGGATCAATAAAGTATCTATCTATCTATATCAAAATTAACTGTTAATATCCAACTAATAGACATTAGTTTGGATATCCAAACTAATAGACATTAGTTTGGATATTATTTCTAGTAGATTTGGATTTCACCACACCTGGGCCAAATATCAACAAGTAATGTAGAGGGAAGACTGGTACTTTTTGCTTTGTTTTTTACTAACTATAACTTCTAAGTACATTTTTGTTATCTAGTATAACATGCCATAGAAGCCCCTGATCATCAATGCTGCAAATTACTGTGATAGACAATTGAGGGTCCATGAAATACTGTCTCACGGGCCGGATTTAGCCCATGAGCCTGAGTTTGACACGCCTGCTCTCCAGCCATGATTAACAATCAAAAGACCTGTTTTATATAGAGACAAATAAACAAACACAAAAAAAGTCTTTCTAATCTTGTTTTCATTTCACATTGTTTTGACCAATTAGCTGATATTTGGTGCAATAACGAACCAATTCAATTCAATTCAATGTATTCTTGGATAGTCCTAAATCACAACAGTAGTGATCTCAGGGGACTTTACAAAACACAAATCAGAGAATCAACAGTTCAAACACAAAGAATAGAGAACATATAGGTATTGGTCCATAGGGGGGAGTTGACCCATGTCCGTAAGTGTTGATACCACGGCACTCTGGTTGAAAAACACAGGCCCAACCCACTCAAAATCACAAATTTATGCATGACAAATACCATATTCGATGCTAGCCACTCCAGTTGACATAAGAAGCTTCTAATAAACACATTTTCCATTTTCTCTGGACTTTGCTGACTTTGTTAAAAACACAAAGAAAGGACCGTCCATCAGCGAGTAAAATCCTGTGGCCTGAGGAGCGATTTCGAATGCAGAGAATGTGGGGTGTTCAGCAAGAATAAGTGCCGCTAAAGATTTTTTGTAAACAGTGTGCTGAGTGAGCTCCGCTATGTCCAGAGTTCAAATTGTCCATTTATAAATAATAGCCCCTGCAAAAAGACAGCCGTGCGGTAGATTTCAGATGGCTTTGACAACAGGCTCTGCTCTCGATCAGCAAACTTTTTAGTAGCAGTTGAAAAAGTAAAACATAAATTATGAATTGACAAAAAGCAAATATGGCCCCATAAGCACTATTACTTGTATTGACGTTGCCCCCAATCTGATCAATGACCATTTAAAGTGGATATGTATTCGAAGGCCTTTCTCTCACACAATCCAATCCAATACACTTTAATTATGTAGCACATGTTATAAGATAAGTTTCCAAAGTGCTGTACAGAAATAATATACAGGTCAGTGTTATATGGATTATATAGATTAAACAAAACAGTCTGTATTCCCTTTTGAAAAAACATATTTCTACTAACTAAATAGGTGTTACAGCAGTGTGTATATAAAATGTTTACTTCACTAACTTAGATATTTGTATGTTTTTATTTGTGTATTTACATGAATTGTGCAGATAGACCAGAGAGCAACCAGAAAGGTAAGTAGTAGTAAGTAAGTAAGCTTTATTTATATACCGCCTTTCACAGACCAGAGTCACAAAGCGGTTTACAATTGTTATTATTTTTGGGCACTTGTCCTCTCACTCCACACAGAGATGGGAGCAGGGTCGCCGAACAGGAGGCGCATGCCAGACCTATTGTACATATTTTTAGTGGTAGGGGAAACCGGAGTACCCGGAGGAAACCTACGCAGACACGGGGAGAACATGCAAACTCCACTCAGAAAGGCCCTGGTCCGGCCGGGATTCGAACCCAGGACCTTCTTGCTGAGAGGCGAGAGTGCTATCCACTCAGCCACCGTGCTGAGTGGATAGGGACAAGGGACAAGAGAGAGATCAGAAAGAGACCAGAGAGAGACCAGAAAGGGACCAGAGAGAGATCAGAGAGAGACCACAAAGGGACCAGAGAGAGACCAGAAAGGGACCAGAGAGAGACCAGAAAGGGACCAGAGAGAGACCAGAGAGAGACTATAGAGAGAGACTGGAGGGAGACCAGAGAGAGATCAAAGGAAGACCAGAGGAAGACCAGAGAGAGACAAGAGAGAGACAAGAGAGAGACAAGAGAGAGACCAGAGAAAGACCAGAGAAAGAGACCAGAAAAAGGGACCAGATGTGTTCTCTGGTTTATTTCAATTCAATTCAATTCAATGTATTCTTGTAAAACCCTAAATCACAATAGTAGTTATCTCGGAGGACTATAAAGACACATAACACCATAAAAACACATACTGTAGACCCATTGGTCCATTAGGGGCAGAGGACAAATGTCCATAAATTACCAATTACCATAAATGTTGTCTCTGGTTGCTCTATCTCGCCTCTCTCTCTCTCTCTCTCTCTCGTGCCTTCTCTGGTCTCTCTCTCCATCTGGTCTCTTTCTCTCTCTGGTCTTTCTCTGGTCTCTCTCTCTCTCACTCTTGTGTCTCTCTCTGGTGTCTCTCACTGATGTCTTTCTCTGGTCTATCTATATCTGGTCTCTCTCTCTCTCTCTCTCTCTCTCTCTGGTCTCTCTCTCTCTTGTGTCTCTCTCTGGTGTCTCACTGATGTCTTTCTTTGGTCTCTCTCTCCCTCTCTCTTGTGTCTCTCTCTGGTGTCTCTCACTGATGTCTTTCTTTGGTCTCTCTCTATCTGGTCTCTCTCTATCTGGTCTCTCTCTTGTGTCTCTCTGGTGTCTCTCACTGATGTCTTTCTCTGGTCTCTCTCAATCGGGTCTCTTTCTCTCTCTGGTCTCTCTCTCTCTGGTCTCTCTCTCTCTCTTTCGTGTCTCTCTCTGGTGTCTCTCAATGGTGTCTCTCTCTCTGGTCTCTCTCTATCGGGTCTCTTTCTCTCTGGTCTGTCTCTCGTCTCTCTCTCTCTGCTTAATGTCTGTGAGCTCCACTCTCTCACAGAGTTCCAGGCCCCTGCGACCATCAAAGCTTCTATTAGAATACTATGAATTCCATTTTATAAAAACAGTGGTCGGACACCTCAAAGAAAGTCCAACTGCTCAATCTTTCTACTCATTGTTTTATCATTAGAAAATTGAACATTGGAGTTGTTACCAGTCTGACATTGCACATTAGGGAGTCCCTTTCTTATTCCTTGACAGAAACCAAATATGAAATGTACCAGCGAAGCAACAGACTATTGATTTACCGACAGAGGAGTCACAAGTGTATTGTGAGCATTTGTGCAGCTGTTGTTTGAAATCCTGGTGCTTGAATAGTTTTAAAGCACAGACTCAGGCTCCTGGTCAAGAACTTAGACCTTCTGTCTCACAGCAAGAGGGTCCTCGGGCCATGGTCTGAGGAAATGACAGTGATAGAGAAACCCGTTGAAACGATTGCTGAGTGAATTTGTGTGCCACAGATCTACTCCCCACACAAGACCGACTCCAACTGCTCTCACTCACATCTGCTGTTGCTGTGTCCTCGGGCAAGACACTTAACCCCACGTTGCCCGAAGCCCCCGCTGAAAGACCAAGGCTGTGTCCCCGTTGATGGGGCTACTTCCCGTAGACCCACCACCTGCAGGAGGATCGGCGAGGGGCTGGTGCTATGAGACTTGGGTGGCAGCTCTCATTGCCAATTTCTTTACAAGGGCATTTGCTACGTCAGGGCTAGCTTTGCACAGTAGCAGAGACAAAGGTGTTGCTAGCATGGTTGCTAAGGCAAGCTAGATTTAGATACTAGGCACCTGATTGCTCGATCTTTATGGCTCATATGGACACAGACGATATAGAAGAAAAAAACATGTAAGTCAATAGGAGCCAAAGCCAGTTGAAGCAAAACTTTGTCCAAGAGCACTTCTCTATTGGGCATCATTGAGTTAGATGGTTGTCATTGTCCATCTAAATACTGTCTATGGTTGGACCTTGCAGACTTTAGAGATTATTCTTATACTAAAATATGTGCGTTCTCTATCTTGAGCCTGGTATAAAAGGTTCCACAACAGCATCCAGAACCGATAATTGTAAAAACACAAGTTGTAAGCACAGGTCTTCAATCCCAGAGTAAACACGACCGGTCTCTCACTGCGTCCCACATAAACAAAGCAGCGCCTGTCTGACGGACCCAGACTCCTCTGAACTTTAGTGAGACCCCCATGGAGCAGGACAGGCCTCAGAAAACAGCCTCTAACCTCAGACAGTTTAGAGTTGAACATGGACTCACTGCAGTGGGTCTAAACCAGGGCTGCTCACACTTTATACAATCATAACAAACTTTTCCAGTGACCATTGAGCCGAGATCTACCTCAGATGTGTAAGAAAGAATTCAGAAGTCATTAGTTGGTGCTATGTATTCACTGCAAAAGGTTATGATAAATAAGTCAAAAGTTTCTCAAATTTGGCAAAATATTATTTCATTGTTAGCACATTTTGACTATTACGCAATTATTAACTCATATTGTAGTATTTGTTGCAGTGTTCGTGATGCATATGTATGTGATTCATCAATTAATCTATCAATATGTGGAAGTTTTAGCATTTTAACTCACTTTGTTCTCATTTTATAGTCCTATACATTATTAGTTTGAAAATCCGTGTCTATGTTTCCATAAACTGCTATGAGATTTATTTTAATTGTATGTGATTTCGATTTCATAGAGGACTTGAAAAATCTGGAACAGTCCTCCTGAAAATGTGAGACAGGCTTCTTCTCTGACAATATTCAAATCCAGTATATGTGCATAAAATTGAGGGATTGTACCTTTACTCTTTTTAATGTTCTGTGATTGTTTATGATTTTAATGCCATGTATTGTTTCTATCTTGTTTAGTTATACACTTTGAGTTGCCTTGTGTATAAACTGTGCTATACAAATAAGCTTGCCTTGCCTATATTTAATAAATCTTGTATAAAAAATGTGTAATCCTCTACTTCATGCTTTCCAAATAATATTAATTTTTCTGCCTCTACCACAAAATGTTGTTGTTTTCTTCACTTTTTAAGACATTTCTAAATGTTGTAAAACGTCAAAAAAAAACTCCACCGTCTTTAACTTTTGCAGCGCTTCTAATTTGAGAAAAGATTTGGAAGAAAAACAACAAGGAGTTTGCGGCAAATTAAGTTTGTTAAGTGAACTTGTTGACTCCGTGGAGGTGCTGTGTTCACTTTTGTAGAAGCATCAATAAACGTCTTGTCTCTAATTATCCGCGCAGAGGGGGAGCTGCAGATCTCAGCACAAAGACACAAACCAGGTCAAAAATCTCATCTCGAAAGCAATTAGGTTTTCAGCCGGTCAAGTTACAATAATGAATCTACAGCCAATTAATATTTGTCCTACTTTTACCAACGTGAACAAAAATTGAGAACAACAGTTGGTATCTCAAGATTACTCTCTACAAAAAGACTAATACAAGATATGCCATTACAAATATACTGTGTAATGTTTATGTACTTTGGTCATCTGCCCCTTATGGACCAATGGCAGAGTTCAGATATTCTTCCATTCTCTTTTCGGCGGCACAGTGGCTGAGTGGATAGCACTCTCGCCTCTCAGCAAGAAGGTCCTGGGTTCGAATCCCGGTCGGACCAGGGCCTTTCTGAGTGGAGTTTGCATGTTCTCCCCGTGTCTGCGTAGGTTTCCTCCGGGTACTCCGGTTTCCCCTACCACTAAAAACATGTCCAATAGTTCTAGCATGCGCCTCCTGTACTGGCGACCCCGCTCCCATCTCTGTGTGGAGTGAGAGACAAATGCCCAAAAATTAACAATTGTAAACCGCTTTGAGACTCAGATCTGCAGTGAAAAGGCGGTATATAAATAAAAACTTACTTACTTACTTACTTACTTACTCTTCAGACTCAGTGAAGACGGAAACGAGACGGTGATCACATTGGCGCATCAAAGCCCCCAACCAACACCCCCTCATCACATTCAGATCTAGCTACATTTTTTCAGTGGTAAGGAAAACCGGAGTACCCGGAGGAAACCTCTTCCTGCAAACTGTTCACAGAAAGGTGGAATTTAACCCAGGACCTTCTTGCTCTGAAACACTTTAACCGCTGCATCTCTGTGTAGCAAGTAAAAATAATGCATTGGTTTTATATAGCGCTTTTTGAACACTCAAATACGATTCACATGTCATTATTTATTCACTCCAAACATGGTGGTGATAAACAATTAATGTAGCCACAGCTGCCCTGGGGCACAGTGAAAGAAGCAAGGCAACCAGTTTGTGCCATCAGCCCCTCTGACCACCACCAATCTTTCAAACACACACCAGACTCATTCTAGGCAATGTGGGTGTCTTGCTTAAAGGAATAGGCCACCGTTTTTACATACTGACATATGTTCTTACCTTACCTTAGACTAGTTGATATGTACCTGTCTGGTCTTTGTCCGTGCGCTCTGTCATGCAAACGGAGCACAAACGCAGCCTCTTCCACAGACTGTATAGTTCCAAATCAGCTCCCGTTAGAAGCTACCAAACTCTTCCACGTTTTCCCTATTTAAATACAGTTACGTGACGTGTTACACTACAAAGTATAGTAACACAGAAATGTAACATGTCAATTTTCTCAGCGGATAAAAAAAGGGTACAATATTGTGAGGCGTAATAATACGTCCGCGCACTAACTCCTAAAGACTTCTCTCCCGCTCACTTCCGTCAATAGATGCAGCGTGACACGTGGAAGAGTTTTGTAGCTTCTAACGGGAGCTAATTTGTTATTATCCAGTCTGTGGAAGAGGCTGCGTTTGTGCTCCGTTTGCATGACAGAGCGCACAAAGACCAGACAGGTTCATATCAACTAGTCTAGTCTAAGGTAAGAACATATGTCAGTAGGTAAAAACGGTGGCCTATTCCTTTAAGGACACAAGACACTATTGCACCTAGTGTTCCCGGAGGTCTCCCATCACAGTACTAACCAGGCCCTGCACTGCTTAGCATCAGAGGATCTGGCTTTCACATGCAGGTATGGCCAATTATAGTCATGTGACTCCCTGTTACTTACATGGACAATGAACAAATTCAGATTGTAAGATTATAGCCAGAGATCTATAGTTCTACGTCATGGTGCTACGTCCCTTAGGACTTCGCTAGTGGGATATCACGTCTCGCGCCTCAGGCTTCACCCCTCCCGGGACGGGGGGAGGCTGATCTGGGTTCCCCAAGGGGCAGCATCGGACATCAGGTTCTGGCTCACTCCGGGTCTACTGCGGGACGGAGTGACTCTGGCCTGCGCTGTGTCTCACGCCGAGGTGTTCACGGACGCGTCGCTCGAAGGATGGGGCGGGGTCCTCGGCCAGAGCTCTGTAGGAGGCTGCTGGTCGGACTCAGCCCGTCACATCAACCTGCTGGAGATGGAGGCAGTGCACAGAGTACTGCTGCACTTTGCCCCTCAGCTGCAGGGGAGACACGTGATGGTGCGCTCAGACAACACCACAGTGGTCTCCTATCTGAACAGGCAGGGGGGCACCAGGTCCCCCGCTCTCCATCGCATGGCGACGGTGACGCTGCTGTGGGCGGCGCTTCACCTCCTGTCTCTCAGGGCGCGCCACGTCCCGGGGGTCCGGAACGTGGGAGCCGACAGGATGTCCAGGGGGGGCCCACTCCAGGACGAGTGGGGCCTGGCCCCACGGGTAGCCGCGGAGATCTGGCGGAGGTTCGGTCGTCCAGTAGTCGACCTTTTCGCCAGTGCAGAGAACGCACAGTGCCCGTCCTGGTTCGCCTTAAGGGCCGCGGACGAGCCGCCTTTAGGCGTGGACGCTCTGGCTCATTACCCATGGCCAGGCGGCCTGTTGTACGCTTTTCCACCGGTGCGTCTCCTGCCGGTCCTACTGCGGAGGATCGAACAGGAGAGGAGGTCGGTGATTCTGGTGGCTCCGGACAGCCCGCATGCCCGGTGGTTCCCCTTCCTGAGGGGCATGGCGGTGATGGAGCCCTGGGCCCTCCCGGACGAGCCGGGGGCTCTAGTCCAGGGGGCAGGAGCCCTGTTTTCACGTCCGATAATCGGCCGCAGGCTCTGGGTTTGGAGGTTGAGAGGCGGAGCCTCGTAGATCTGGGTCTTCCCCCTGCGGTGGTGGAGACAATTCAGGGAGCGAGGGCGCCGTCCACCGTGAGGGCCTACGCCACGAGGTGGAGGCTATTCAGTGCCTGGTGCGATTCCCGTTCCTGGGATCCCAGGTTTTGCCCGCTGGAGGGGGTCCTGGGATTCCTACAGGAGCTTTTCGACAAGGGGAGGGCTGTCGCTACCTTGGCGGTGTTTGCGGCAGCCATTACTTCAGGTCACGACGGGTTCGGGGGGTTCACAGCCCGCTCTCACCCGTTGATTAAACGTTTTCTGCGGGGGGCGCGCAGGAGGAGGCCCCCGCTCCAGAGAACGCCTCCGGTTTGGGACCTCAGGGTGGTCCTTAGGGGGCTGTCGGGTTCGCCTTTTGAACCGGCGGCGGAGGCGAGTCCCGATTGTATCGCTTTTAAGACGGCCCTCTTGCTGGCGTTGGCGTCTGCAAAAAGGGCGGGCGATTTGTGTGCGCTCTCAGTCCATGCGTCGTGCCTGTCCTTTGGAGAGGACGACGGCATGGTGGAGTTGTGGCCCAATCCGGCTTTTCTCCCCAAGGTCATCACGTCGGCCTTTAGGTCGAGAGTGATCAGGATTAGGGCTTTCCACCCGCCGCCGCATGCCTCCCCCGAGGAGGAGCGGCAGCACCTTCTGTGTCCTATCAGAATGCTGAGGCATTACCTGGCCATGACGTCGTCATTCAGGTCGGGTGATCAGCTGTTTGTGTGTCTGGGCCCCAAGAACAGGGGCGCCCCGCTGTCGGCTCAGCGGCTGGCGCATTGGGTCGCCACGGCGGTGCGACGGGCGTATCAGGCGCAGGGCCTGGCCCCCCCGGTGGGTTTCAGGTCGCATTCCACGCGTGGGATGGCGGCCTCTACGGCCCTTCTCAGGGGGGCGTCGGTCGAGGACGTTTGCCGTGCGGCTTCTTGGGCGTCGTCCTCCTCTTTCGTCCGGTCTTATCTTTCGGATGTGTCGGACCGGTCGGTGGCCCATTCCGTGCTGAGTGCAGCGGATTGAGTTGGACCGTTGGGTCCCTCCCCTGAGGAGTGGGCCTTCGGTCTATTTTTCCGCCCTGGTGCAGGAGCTCTTGGGAGAGGCATCCTACAGGTGCGGTACATATATGTGTGTTTGATCGGTCTGGTAGTCTACATCAGGAGCTCTTGGGAGAGGCGTCCTGTGACTACGGTTGACCTACGATTGGTGTTACGTGGGGGCGTCCTTGGTAGGAGTGGCCCGGTAACACGCTTTGTTTCTTCTGCCCTGAGTCCTCTCACGGTGTGAGGGTCTTGCTCGGGCGGAGCTCCAATCACCCTTCGCTGGCCTGCTGGGAGTACATGTTCCTACGGCCTCCGCGTTGTGTCCCACTAGCGAAGTCCTAAGGGACGTAGCACCATGACGTAGAATTAATAGTTACCTAATGTAACTTAAGTTCTACGAATAGGTGCGTAGTCCCTTAGCTACGAGCCCATCAGGCCAGCCCGGCTTGGCAGAGTTCAAGAGGGGGTGCGGCCTTGTGCAGGGGCATTTATAGAGGAAGGTGGCTGGTGATTGGAGCAAATTATTTTGATCTCTCTGGCGTCTGTGACCTGGGGGTCACGTGATATCCCACTAGCGAAGTCCTAAGGGACTACGCACCTATTCGTAGAACTTAAGTTACATTAGGTAACTATTAATTCCCGTCTGCAGTCCCTGAACAAATGTTTTTTTAGGGAAGCATAAAGTTAGGCACCAAACAACTTTAACTATTTCGCTTTTCAAACAAGAACAAATCCCCCAAAGTGCAGCCAGTGGGTTCAACTCAAACACAACAGTCGATATAAAGTGGCTTTGAATCCCAGCGAGAAGGAAGAGAATATCTGAGCTGCTAAAAGCTATAATTATATGTTGGGAATACGCGCTAGGCTAACCCGAGCGCTCTCCTGTTTCGGTGAATTGTGGCTAATATTTTGGTTGCACTGTCAAACAAGACTCCTTAATATACAGTCTTCAAACGCAGTTCAGAGATTTAAAGTGACAGCTGGATTGCCGAGAAAACACATTATCACATTTTAGTATCAACAACCACACGCCAGAACCCCAGAGCTGCAATTAGACATTTGGAAGTCATCATGCATATGGTTTGAGTAGTTTTGGGTTGAAATGTGGGTGAATGAAAGAAGATTAATTGGGTGAATAAATTAAATGAAAAAAAATGTATGTCAATTTCATAAAGTTAGATTAAAATGGAAGGGATCTCTAAAATGTCAGACAGAAGCAATGAGGAGCAGATAATACAAGATAAATGAATAATAACACTACGCTAAAATAAACAATACATTTCATTACATTTTACAAATCAGGGTTACACCAAGAGCTTCATGTTTTTGGAGTGCCAATATTTTTCTATTCACTCCATGCTGGGTGATGACAGAAGCGAGACGCCAAACAAAGTGCATCAAAGCCTTCAATCATCTCCATCCGTTCACTCACTCGATACATTCAGACCTATTAAACATGTTTTTGGCGTGAAGCGTCTTGTCCCAACAAAATTTTGGCACTTTACAGCCGCCCCACTGTGGCACCTGGTGAGGTTTCCCATCACTAGTAACTCTGCCCTGTACTGCTAAGCTTCAGACGTCTGACGAGTTTTGCCTTACACTTGGCTAGGTATGGCCTACCTTCTCAATATCTTTTTGAATGGCCCTTATCTTTTTTTGCAAATGTACTACTCCTATATTCTCATTTGAAGGCTGGTTACCCTTGTTGTCCCCGTGAATAATGACAATAACCAGCGAACAGACGATACAGAGCAGAAGTCACTTACTAAAGCATGTTGGGAAGAGCGAGTCAAGACTCAGTGGGGGTCTAGGTTGTTTATTTTGGAGTTGCTTTGTGATCCTGTCCCTAGCAGCAGGTGAATGTGTAATTTGCTATTTGCTCAATGCCTGAAAGGAGATCTGTGCACACCTGCAGCAGCGGCAACACAACACAGGAGCTCACGTCAATCAAGCGCCACTTCCTGTTACTGTTGTCACCACGGAAACATAGTAGTTCTGAAAAAGGCTTCAATCTATACGCATACATTCTGGACAGTGGCATTCAGTCTGTGCATGGCTGACAAATGCAGTGTAAGCAAAGACATATTGCCTATTTAGATTTTTTCACAGCCTGTTCACATGCTGCATCTTTTTGATAATTGCGATCCAGGTGCTGAGGTGTGAGAGCTGAGACAAATAGAACGTGCAACTTCTCTGGTTTTGATTTACATATGTTCATGATAATTCAGTTTGCTAATCACCTTTGTATGTGAGCAAATGCTTGATAAATGAGGCACAAAGTATTATATGTCACGCACTGGCTGAATGTTTGGACAAAGTTGGAGTCCATATGTTTAAAACTGTACAACTGTCTCGCTTTCGTCATCACCGTGTGTGGAGAGGATGAAACAATATCTGCACTCTGAACCTTGTAAAGCGCTTTGGGTGACCTTGGTCTGCAAAAATGTAATATGAATGAAGAGTACTTTACTATTTTTTTTTATTTTTTTTCTGCACCTTCTCCATCGACTCCCACTGATGACTGCTGTCGTTGTGTCCTTGGGCAAGACACTTAACCCCACTTTGCCCAAAGCCCCCACTGAAAGATCAAGGCTATGCTCACACTCAGAGAGCAGCCGTCCTCCTGTGGACTCACCACCTGCAGAGGGTCAGTGAGGGGCTGGTGCTATGAGACTTGGGTGGCATCTCTGACTGCCACCCCCCTGACCCAGAAATGGATTAAAGGGTAGAAAATGGATGGATGGTTGGGACAGTACATGTTAATGAACACATCACTCCGGATTGTAGCGTTGGGCTAATTTGCATCTGTTGTCCCATTCGCACTCACAAACACACACTCATTCTCCCTGACCTACTGCACATGTTTTTAGTGGTAGGGGAAACTGGAGTACCTGGAGGAAACCTACACAGAGAGAACATGCAAACTCCAATCAGAAAGGCCCTGTTCTGATAGGGATTTGAACCCAGAACCTTCTTGCTGAGAAGCAAGAGTGCTCAGCCACCATGCTGCCTACTAACTTACTTATTTTAGACTTTTGCATGTGTTACCCATCTCTAGTTGCAGCCCATTCATATCAGCTTCCCCATTGGGTGGAACCTGGAAAGAGGAGAGAGCCAGCAGCAGCAGCAGTAGTAGCAGCAGTAGCAGCAGTAGCAGCAGTAGCAACAGCAGCAGCAGGAGCACACAAACCACACAAGACTGGGGTCATCACATATGCTTGTATGTCACAAAAAGCCTCTAAAAGATTGCCTTGTTCATGCAGACTTGGCCATATGCACTTAAATTTTCACAGTTCATACACAAACTACTGAATTGTGTTGGATTCGATTATAATTCTTTCAGCATTGATTTTGAGGATGAATATTGTTTGGTGGTGTGGCCATAAAGCAGCAGCATTAAACTAAAGTTGGCAAACATTTCTAACTTCACTCTTCTAATAATCTGGATGGGATTTCTTGGATAAGTATATCACTATATGGGGTAGAGATGGATGGAAAAAGATTGAAAAACAACAAAGGATAAAGTCCGGTAAAATAAGAAGAGGTACCGAGGCACTCTGTTTGGAAGTTTTAATCCTTTCTACTCCTGAGAGAGTCTGCGTCAGGGCATTAATATGAAGGATAAAGTCTTTTGAAATATTCATGCTCATGAGACACTCCATTAGATATGGGCAAACAGTGAAATTACTCTCCACCAATCGATCTCAGCATTAAAATGATCGTTATGTAATACATGTAAAAATACTGTGGGAACTTTTAAGACTCAAACTGTAATCCATCCATCCATTTTCTTTATCCGTTTCTGAGTCAGGGGCAGACACTTCCTCCAGCTAATCCAGGGGAATAGCGATGTGTTCCCAGGCCAGCTGAGAGACATAGTCCCTCTAACGTGTCCTGTGTCTTCCCTGGAGTCAGGTTAAAACACATTTTTCATTAAACAAACATGTTACAACTCATCTTTTGGAGAATATAGTGCCTTGGTCCAAATGGAAAAAACAAATCCATATTCACTCATTTATGATCAACAACAAATTAATGAAGTGTCTAAAAAAATCCATGAATCTAGCTCTATAATGGATGGTTCTTTTATACAGAATAATACCAGTGTTGGTCTTCCATAGATTTGCTGACCTTGTAAAAAATAGTTGAAAGTCTTACAAGTTTGGGTCTTACAAAGCTACAACTGTGGGTCAATATAGCTTTGCACAGTCTGTGAGGTTTATTTGAGGTGATTATAGTTGAACTTTGTAATCGTATTTTTGCAACCTTGCTTCACTCCTCGAGGTAAAACGTTTTTGCTTATTTTTGTGCTCACTCACAGACCTGAAGTAAATTATTAAAATATCTTAAAAAATAACTGTGGTTGCGACCTGAATTCTTCATGTATAAATGAATGTAGGTCTTACTTTACCTTTGCCTAAAGAGCCGAAAGGCGAAGCTCTCGATTTACCGGTCAATCTTCGTTCCCTCCCTCACCTATGGTCATGAGCTTTGGGTAATGACCGAAAGAACGAGATCGCGGATACAAGCGGTCGAAATGAGCTTCCTCCGCAGAGTGGCTGGGCGCTCCCTTAGAGATAGGGTGAGGAGCTCAGTCACACGGGAGGAGCTCGGAGTAGAGCCGCTGCTTCTTCACGTCGAGAGGAACCAGTTGAGGTGGCTCGGGCATCTGTTCCGGATGCCTCCTGGACGCCTCCCTGGGGAGGTGTTCTGGGCACGTCCCACCGGGAGGAGGCCCCGCGGAAGACCCAGGACACGCTGGAGGTACTATGTCTCTCAGCTGGCCTGGGAGCGCCTTGGGGTCCCCCCGGACAAGCTGGAGGAAGTGTGTGTGGATAGGGAAGTCTGGGCGTCTCTGCTTAGACTGCTGCCCTCGCGACCCAGCAACGGATGAAGCCGAAAAAGATGGAATGGAATGGAATGGTCTTACTTACAGTACCTAACATCTAGGCTTTGTACAAAAGTTCTCTGTATCATATTGACGTCAGCAGCTGGAATGAACAGTGCACAATATTTATGGGACACAGAGACGAATTCCCTGAAGATTTTTCTCTCCCGCTGCGTCCCATAAGGCCAACAATTGAATCCATCAATCAATAGTTGTCTGCGTGGTCCGGGCCTCGGTGAGGTTGGGGTTGAGGGTCTTTGGGGTGGGAAGGGTTAATCGCTGGGCTTAATCTGGCCACAGGACCGGTGTCAGAGGAATTATGGGAGATGGAGCCGAGGGACTTGAGTGAGGAGTAGTGCCCTGGTGCGCACTCACAAGGAATCAATAGGTCAATTCATCAGATCCACACGCATACAGCTCTACAGATAAACACTTTCTCCACATGAGCGGAGATTCAGGGAGCGCTCGGATGTGCAGAAAGGCAATCGTGGCGGGTGGGTGAGACATTAAAGCTGGGGTGCCTAACTTTCAACCCACAGATAATGAAACAATGTAATAACAATCAATTGAGTTTATTGTTCTTTAAACACTTCATCAGACACAAGTGAAAAAGCGAAAGCGGCTCTTGCCAATTGGCTTTCTCATTTGTGTGCAAAGGATACGTGTTTTAAAATTAGATAAAGACATCATTTTGTGGTTTGATGTTGGACAAATAGACCTTTTCTATTGATTCACACAAACTGCTTTTATCCATGAAGAAAAAAGTCGATACCCCAGCTCTGAATAACAACCAAATGAACAATAGTATGAAGTGGAGAGGTTCATAGACCCCGAAACTAAATAAAAATACTTTCTATCCTAATGTCAAATTGTTACAAACTGTTTTCCCATTTGTATATTTAAAAGGTTTTGCTAAATGTGTATATACAAATCCATCTTCCGTCTTATTTGTAAGTTTTTCCTTTTCCAAGATTTTATTCTGTCCAAAGATCATATGGTTTTAAAAAATATGAGGGTAATATGATCAAAGTTGGATACAATTGATTTGAATATATTATATAATGTCCATCCAGGCTCCATAAACTGTTATAAAAAGGGACCACAACCTTACGGGAAGGGTGTGTTGTATAAATATCTTAACGTGGACATTTATCAGATGTCAGACTGGAGACTAAGCTACTGATCTAGAACTTATTCCCGTCTTGAAACACAAGGACTAAATCACTTGCCGTCCATAAAGAAGTATTTCTCCTCGCGCCTTAATGTTCTCTGTGCATCCTTTTATACTGAGGCCTTGGTCTGACGCTGCAACATTCTGCTACATAAGCACTTTTTCTGAAATCGTTTGTCGCTGCACAGATCGACTGTGAAATTGTACTTGTCTCAGAACCGACAAAATACGAGCGCGAGACGACATCAACACGATCAGCGCTGCATTGTATCACACTGATCAGGGACAAACTTCAATGGGAAAAGATTAGAAACTTTTGGCAATTCGTCTTCCAGCGTCAGGCCATATCTTGGTTCAAAGAGGCATTATTTGTAACTTTTGGAATAGCATAATTTTCAGGCTGAGAAGGAAGTTTGAAAACCTTGAGAGTCACGGTAACTCTTTAAACCACTGACCTGGGTATTTTTCATGCAGTAAAACAATAGCAATGATCGCCATCTGCTGGCTGTTTGCAGAACTGCGAGAAATTTGACAGCTTTTTTTCAACAAATAAGGTACAAATGTTTTTAAACTTTGGTTTTTAAACAACAATTGAATGTTGAAATGAAACTTAAAATATTTATGGAAGCTAATATTAGGAACTCTTTGAATAAGTGCAAAGTAGGTTTTTACAATAAAAATCTTATACAAAAATTCATAGTTATTAAGATAAGATAAGATAAGAATTCCTTTATTCGTCCCACAGTGGGGAAATTTTGATGTTGCATCGCACATATAGGACAGTAGTAAGAGCACACAGGGAGCACACACAATATATACAAATAAGTAGTAGCTATGTTAATGAAGAATCACTGTGTAATTCTTTGAGAAGCAAGATTTTCACCCTTACAAAGACGCTGTATCTGCCCCCTGCCTCAGAGTAGTTAAACAATACACTGTAGTCGCCCTAATACTGCCATTCATATGCATTTGACTATTTAGTATCTTTGACTTTATCCGGACGACTTCATCTGAAACGTTGAAATAGTAAAGTTTTATTTTTGAAAATGAAAATGAATCCTATATGCCATCAACAGACACATCTTCAACCAAAATGCAGAGAGAAAACTCCCTGAGAATTACATGTGTTGCTTCACATATGAAGCTCAAGCGGATGTTCAGACTGAAAGACCAAGTGCCTGCCAGCCTCGAGCCTCAGCCAATCACACAGCTCTGCCAGCCTCGAGCCTCAGCCAATCACACAGCCAGGCCAGCCTCCTGCCAACCCTCTCAGAGCAAAGCGGGCAGTTTAAAAGGCAGCCACTTCCTGACAAACAACGCTTCCTGAGGCTCTTAAACAACCATGGGCATGGTTCTCTGACCGCCGCTGCTGCCGGTCCCTGCTGCTCCTACTAATGCCTGTTCCCTGATGCCTGCTCCCCGTTCCTGCTGCTACTACTGATGCCTGTTCCCGCTGCTGCTGCTGCCTGTTCCTGCTGCTCCTACTGATGCCTGCTCCCCGTTCCTGCCGCTCCTACTGATGCCTGTTCCTGCTGCTGCCTGTTCCTGCTACCGCTCCTGCTGCTGCCGCTCCTGCTGCTCCTACCGCTGCCTGTCCCTGCTGCCTGCTCCTGCTGCTCCTACTGATGCCTGTTCCCGCTGCTGCCTGTTCCGCTGCCGCTCCTGCTGCCTGCCTGTTCCTGCTGCCGCTCCTGCTGCGCCTGCTCCTGCTGCCGCTCCTGCTGCTGCCTGCTCCTGCTGCTCCTACTACACGTGCCGCTGCTGCTGTTCCTGCCGCTGCCTCTCCGCGGGCTCCCAGGCTGCACCTGTCTCTACGGCTCAGCTCTTTCAGACACGTATGTAACCTGGCTCACAGAGACAAGCGGCGCACGCTGGCGTGACATGGTCTGCTTGCCCGTATGAATCGCATTGTGGTTGCGTCGCACGTGCTTGTCCCGGGCCCGTGGTTGTCCCGTGCCATCGTTTGTTTGGGGTCTGTTCCTGCTTTGACCCGCTCTGATCTGCTCGTCAGTGCTTATTGGCGCCGCTCCTTAAACACGTCCAGGCTCCGTGTCACTGCTGCTCAAGTCTCCTCCGTGAGACAGTTCAAACTCCAGCGTGCTTGGTGGCATACAAAATTACATTTTGGAGTCTTCCCTAATCAGTCTCTTTCTAAGGCCCGAATTGTTCATATTAAGGCTTAATGGGTTCGGTCTCCGAGGCTTAACGACATATTGCACGTTCAGGGTGAATAGGAATCTGCAGCTTTGGCGCCTCTCTGATTTGGTTGCTCCCTAGACAAAGGCCTAATGTAATATTGCTCGCTCAGGGTGAAGAGGAATCTGCAGTTTTGACGCCTGTCTGATTTGGACGCTCCCATAAGGTGAAGAAAGTGCGTTTAGCTTCATGGCCCTGTCACGCACATAATGGCGTATGTGAATGCATGTTGTATAGCAAAGCATGGCAAGTTTATTTGTGTAGCACAATTCATACACAAGGCAATTCAAAGTGCTGAACAAAATAAGATAGCATTAAAATCATAGATATTCACAGAACATTAAAAAGAAGGATAGAAATATACGTTTTGACCTTGTCTTAAACATTGTCAGAGAGGAGGCCTGTCTTGCATCTTCAGGAAGATTGTTCCAGATTTAGCAGTGTGAATCTGAAAGGCAGCCTACCCACGTTAGTTCTGACTCTGGACACTAACAGGAGTCCAGTCCCTGTGCTCCTCAGAGTCCGGGCTGGTTCATATGGGACTAACATGTCACTACTATATGTTGGTGCGAGGCCATGGAGGGACTCGACTTGTATATGCGCATGCACATGTAGGTACGTAGTATACGTGCGTGCATATATATTATGTATATGTATATGCGTATGTGTTTTATAGTCTTAAGCTCGCTTCGCTCAGTTCTCATCAGGGCTGTCTCTGCTCTCGTCAAACTTTCCGTAGTGTAATCGTAATTATGATTAGATGCTTTGCAATGAATGATGTGAGTTACCTTCGCTGGTCGTCGGGCTATTCCGTTAAAAGACAACCTGTTCCAACTGGGGCCAAGGGAATCTGGGTTCGTAAATGCTTATTCGGTGTCGTCCATTCTACTTCAGCGCAGCCAATATAGACGTGTCGTAACCCGTTCTGAGATGTTGTTGTTCTCGGTCGGGCTCGAATCTCCGCTAATCTGTAGCTAGCGAGACGACAGGAGGTCGTCATTCAGCCAACTTCAGCTCTTTCATAGTTCGTCCTAAAGTTCGGACCAGTCCAATGCGGTTTCGCCTACGTGTCGGCCCCGGGACTAGTCTGGCGGACTGAAGTGGCCCTCGTACTGAAATCCTCGAGCCCCCTCCGCGTACAGTAAATATTTCTCATAGGGACGCGTTGCCCCAGGTCATTAGCAGTGTGTTTCATTTTATCCTGAGCAGGCTGGTGTCGATTATCAAAAGTGGTTTTATGCTTTGTTCCACCTCCGTGCGGAGTTTTGCATGTTCTCCCCTCGTCCGGCCGGTTGCTCCGGATCCTCCACGTGCTCTGGCCTTCCCTCACTGCTACCGCGTGCAATTGATCCGCCCTGCGCCTCATACGGGCGATCTCTCTCCGATTCTCCGCGCGGAGTCGGGGGGCAGCATCCACAACGGTCACATGCTCTCTGCCGCACTCTCATGGCTCTGAGTCATCGTAACGGTTGCTCGCTCTACTGCTCGTTCTCAGGTGCCGCTCTGTTCGTACTTATTCTGCTCCGTGGCCGCTCTTTGCCGTCGTTCTGAGTTTCCTAATTGCCTCAAGATAGCTCTCTCCTGTCCAGAAGGAGATTCGGTCGGTTCTTGTTTAATCTCTCCCTTTGTTGCAGGGCGCTCTTGCTGCACGGCCGCGCCTTGCGAATTATACTCGTAGCAATAGGCCCTGTCATTCCCGCGCGGGGCATGCCCTTCCTACGCGGGGCTCGTCCATCTCAAGCCGGGCAGGCGTCTGGCCGTCACACTGGCCACCCGGCACACGTGATGACCCTCATCGAAGGTTTCGTAAATGCTCCCTCGGCTTGGACATGGAGAGAGAGAGGATAGGAGGAGGAGGACCAAGGTCTCTTGGTCCGTCCTGTCCTCTGTCATCCTCGCAGTGCACGTCATTCCTCAGGCCGTGGTTCATCCCCAGGCTCCTGCGCGCTCTGCAACCCTGTTCCTGTTCGCAGGTGCTGCGCTGACCTCAGCTTCAGCTGCTGCCTGCCGGAACGGCGTCTTTCATGATGGCACCGCCTCTTCCACTTACTTATTTCTTTTTCACGGACGCGGCTCAGTCCGTGGGTTTTTGGGGGTCATATCAAGGCCAGTGGTTAGCTGCACCCTGGCCCCAAGGACTTATTACCCCTATCACTATAATCCCTGCATTCAACACTCCAAAAGGAAGGTGCCGTCACACTTTCGTTATGCATTATTTTTCCCCTGTCCGGATAAACACCTGATGAAATGCACTCCTCCATGCACGGAGAGGAGATTCAGATGGGGTGCCATTTCTCTCTCTGTCAAATGACGTCATGTTTGCGCAATGCATCCAAGCCCATTTAATAAATCCGGCCGGTCTCCTGTGATCTCCCGATTCTCCAATACCGGCCGCTGGATTAGAATAGCCGCCGCACTCCAGCCTGCTGGGCCTTCCTCACTCTTCCCTACAGCAAATGGGTCAATGGTCCACGGCTTGGTCCTGCCTCATCCTCTATCAGACTAAACACTGACACTATTCTGACTGCTCAGCGCTCCCTCTTCAATCTGAGGTAATTATCAAATACTCTGGTGGTGGCTAAGGCTCTTCTCTCACATAAGCATTCTCAACATCTGTTGCACTTCAATCCGGACATGCATATGATCACCTTGTCTTACATCATACATTCATGCCCACCGCAGCGCTCTGTGCAGAGAAGCTTCTCTGCATAACCCCTTACGGCTCACGCTATACACGCACCTCACGAAGCGGCCTGTGCGCGAGAGGCAGCTCCGCACGCCCCAAGGGCCCACGCTTCTACACGCATAGTCATTACAGAGCGTGCGGACTCGTCATCCCCGCATATTCTCTGTATCATACGCTGACACACGCATGCTCAAATATAGCAGATCTTGTATGAGAAAGCTCTCTACATTGCTGCTCCACATTCTCAACACGCAGAGCCCGCATCAGCTCTGCGATTACACGCATCTACTCTTCACTTCATGCATCCATCACGCACGCATGATCACATAGCCGCTCATTCAGTGAGTGTCTGTTCCCACAGATCCCCTGCGGCCTACGTCATACATGCACCCTCACGAAGCGGTCTGTGCGCGAGAAACCCTCCGCACGCTCCAAGGGCCAACGCTTCACACACGCATAATCATTACAGAGCGTGCGGATTTGTCACCCCCGCATATTCTCTGTATCCTATTCATGCAATTCTGCTTCCAGGCAATGCTGCCTCCATGCAATGCAGCCTCCACGCAATGCAGCCTCCACGCAATGCTGCCTCTACGCAATGCTGCCTCTACGCAATGCTGCCTCTATGCAATGCTGCCTCTATGCAATGCTGCCTCTATGCAATGCTGCCTCTATGCAATGCTGCCTCTATGCAATGCTGCCTCTATGCAATGCTGCCTCTATGCAATCTATGCAATGCTGCCTCCATGCAATGCTGCCTCTATGCAATCTATGCAATGCTGCCTCTATGCAATCTATGTAATGCTGCCTCCATGCAATGCTGCCTCTATGCAATCTATGCAATGCTGCCTCTATGCAATCTATGCAATGCTGCCTCCATGCAATGCTGCCTCTATGCAATCTATGCAATGCTGCCTCCATGCAATGCTGCCTCCATGCAATGCTGCCTCTATGCAATCTATGCAATGCTGCCCCTATGCAATGCTGCCTCCATGCAAGGCTCCCACGCCTCCAGATAGGCAGCTTCCCACGGGAGGCCTGCGCATTCCCCGGCACACATAGCGTGGCTTCCTCTTTTGGGGGATCTGAGATCATCTCAGCTGCAATCGATCTCATAGCTGCAAGTGTCACTGCCGGGGTCAATGCGCCAAACAAATAAATCATTTTAATGTATTTATCGTGTCTTTGGTCTCTTCAGATTGAAATGAAGCTCAAGCGGATGTTCAGACTGAAAGACCAAGTGCCTGCCAGCCTCGAGCCTCAGCCAATCACACAGCTCTGCCAGCCTCGAGCCTCAGCCAATCACACAGCCAGGCCAGCCTCCTGCCAAACCTCTCAGAGCAAAGCGGGCAGTTTAAAAGGCAGCCACTTCCTGACAAACAACGCTTCCTGAGTCTGGCTCTCGGCTCCCGCTCTGGCTCCCGCTCTGGCTCCCGCTCTGGCTCCCGCTCTGGCTCCCGCTCTAGGCTCCCGCTCTGGCTCCCGCTCTAGACTCCCACTCCGGCTCCTGCTCCGCCTACGCCCCATTCACACCATACTCTAGCCACCACCAGTGATTGACCCCGGGGGATCTGAGATCATCTCAGCTGCAATCGATCTCATAGCTGCAAGTGTCACTGCCGGGGTCAATGCGCCAAACAAATAAATCATTTTAATGTATTTATCGTGTCTTTGGTCTCTTCAGATTGAATTATAGCTGTATCGATTGCCATATAAACTGTGCATGGAGAAAATCAGGCTGTTGGCAGAAAAAGGATTTTTGCATCTGATATTAGGTTGTGATTTGATTGTAGAGCTCCCGTATGCATAATAATAATAATAAAAAACCTAATTTCAGAAGTGCCATGACTTTTTTACATCTTCAGACAAGTCTTTCATAGATTCTTTTATGGAAATCTCTTTAATCATGTTGGCCGGCTGTCCGGGTGAAGTGACCAGTGGGCAGTGAGTCAAACCCATTGAATTAGAAAAAGATTCTTCAATACCCTCGCACGCTTTGAGCCGCTACATTGGACAGAACAAAAATGACCCTGTCCTCCCTGCACTGGCATAATTGGGTTTTCCAGGGAAAATGTCGTTTGACCTAAATTGCATTTGTTCATCCCTCTACGAACCCATTGATATCCTCGCACAGCTGCAGTGGGAAATCATAATTCCAGTTGTCACATGTTAATGGATACGTTGGAAATAATAGAATTCATTTTGCAGAGATAGGTGTCGCACATGCAAATATGAGAGCAATTTCACGAGTTGCGAGAAGTACAGAATTTATTAAAAGTTTCAAATGAGCCATCGGTTATTTGAATTGTCGCAAATGGTTTTGTGTGAAGCCGCGCTCAGGTCTGCTAAATCACTTAAATTAAAATAAGTGAAGGATGTATGCAGACAATCTCGCTGGTAATTGGAAGCAAAGCAGAATAAAGCTGGGACGATATTGCATGAATAAAAATGATCAAATAGTTGCACTAGTGGAAAGGCAGTACTGCATGAGACACATATCACATCCTGAAAACCTGTTTGGGTTTTCTGTTTTGTTGTTTATTGAAGCTTATAATAAAGAATCAGTACCGGCTGATTCCATATTATGATTGAGGGAAGAATTCTAGTTAAATAGTATTCTGGAAATTTTCAAACTTGGAGAATGAAGATATATCCATCAATCATGCATTGTTATTAAAGGGACAATATGTAATATTAAAATTTTAGATTACATCGGCACCAAACTGGCATTATTGTTGGCTTTGGATAAAAGGACCATGTCTGATACTCCAATAAACCAAATAAATGAATAACAAAAGTGTGATTGTAATTATATTTGCAGATTACACCCACTGAACTGGCCACTGCACTAGTTTATAGCAGCTACTTATATTGTATATTTACAGTATGCTCCCTGCGCTCTTTCTACTTTCTACTTAACCCCACTTTGACTGAAGCCCCCACTGAAAGATCAAGGCTCCTGTGGACTAACCACCTGCAGGAGGATCAGGTGCTCTGTGTACTAGGTGCAGCCCTGACTGCCACAACCCCCCCCCCCCCCGACCCAGCAATGGATTTAGGGGAAGAAAATGGATGGATGTTTTTTCCCAAAATGTACCTTATGTGGCCTGTAGATTTGTAAAGATATAAATAATCTAGATTTAAAACAGTCTTTCCGGGTATCAATGTAGAAGTGAAGAAAAAGACATGTTGAGGTGACTCATAGTTTGGGAAATTATTTGCGAAGAATGTGGGTGGAGAGTGGGTTTATATGGATACAATGACAATCAAGTATGAAATAGAGGCTTTCCAGTTTAATTTATTTTACTCTCTTATGGGAACGCTGCTACGGCTAATCAGGTTTTTTTTTTTAAATCATTTGCGTAGATTTTACGATAATAATATTGAATCAGATCTGAGACCAATGAGGCATTCTCCAAACAGCCTCTGCATGTGTTGTGGGGGTAATTGGGCTTTGAAACATTAATGATGAGGACTATAGTTATATGTGGAAAAACACAGGCAACATGAATGAATCAATCAACCTGGTGGTTTGATTTATATGAAAATAATAAGCTGTAGGGCGGGACTTTCACGTATGAGAGTGATTAAGTTACACTTCAAACATGACTGATCATACTGTCCATCAATTAGGTTTGGTTTTCACAAAGACATCTGCTTCTACTGAAGACACGGCATTTGGTTTTCATTGTCCTCAAGTAATAAAATGATACGTAGCCAAGCAACATATCAACGTAAGAATTAAACAACAAGGAGCACAAAACACTCACACATCCATAACATGTGAGAAAATATATATATTTGTTGTCTACAATCACATAAACGTGTCTGAGGAACATGTAGCTCAGTTGGTAGAGCATTGGCCTTAAGGCCAGAAGGTCGTGGGTTCAGTTCCCACCTCTGCACCTTCTCCATCGACTCCCACTGATGACTGCTGTCGTTGTGACCTTGGGCAAGACACTTAACCCCACTTTGCCCAAAGCCCCCACTGAAAGATCAAGGCTATGCTCTCACTCAGAGAGCAGCCGTCCTCCTGTGGACTCACCACCTGCAGAGGGTCAGTGAGGGGCTGGTGCTATGAGACTTGGGTGGCATCTCTGATTGCCACCCCCCTGACCCAGAAATGGATTAAAGGGTAGAAGATGGATGTCTGAGGAAAGGGACTGCTTAATGAGCCAAGGGCATGGATCTATAATAATAACTGGATAGGGTATTACTAGCTTATAGCTGTCCCACCTATGGGCACAGGGGGCGCCCGTGGTACTGCAGACTAAATTTACGCGGGCTACCCAAAAAAGTCCTATAGAACCCAATGTAAATTAAAACAGCTGGACTGCAGCTGACAGAGAACCTACAGCTTTCATAAAGGCCCCGTTTATACGCTGCGCAGACGTTGCCAAGCTATTAACAGAAACGACCAGGCTCCTAATGCAAATTTCACAACGTTCATACGAGGATCAAAATCGATGTACGTTGAACACACAATAAAACAATATTTCTACGCCTGCCTTTTGTATGCAGCACGTTTGCCTGTTTCAAACACACTGCTCATGAAAATCAAATAAAAACATGAGAGCAATTATAATTGTGTAGTTCTGAGCTCCATATCCACTGAGGGCTTCGGTTCTCACGCACTCCCCGAAGTGTTAAACTGATAAGGGATCAGATAAAACTACAAGCGACGCAACGACATGATCAAAACCAGATCTGGAATTATAATCACAATATATACAGTAGGTGATTATAATTCCAGATTATAATCACAATATATACAGTAGGTGATTATAATTCCAGATCTGCCGTGCTTTGACAAGATTTGCAGCCAAGTGGTAATCCTGCAGAATAAATGTTTTATGAATAACACCTCATTTTACTCAACAACTGATTTGCTGATTTGGCCTTTTTATCAATGCTGGAGATCCCTGTTAATCAAATATTCTATATAGTTCTCCCCAATTTTCATTGGAATTAACATTTGAATTTCTACTCAGAAAAGATCCTAAGTTCTGGGAAAATCATTGATTTAAGATGACATACAACCATATTTTTACATAATTCAAACTCGAAAAGGAGTGGGAGGAAGAAAAATCTTACAGTTTCAACATGTTTTGACAATATTCTTCATATCACGAGAACTAACATGTATTGTAACACCTGCACAAGGACTACTAAAAAATGCAAACTCATCGTAAAGAAAGCAACAATGCATTAGCTGCGTCGATGCGGCCACGCCGATAACGTCTGAATAAAAAGGGTTCGACCAGGGGGAGATAAAGTGTCTCAATTAGGGCTCTTTCAGTACATCTGTCCTCAGCCGCCTGCTCTTTTATCACTGTGTAAACAAGCCCTGCATGCACCAGTGTCCAGTGTTTCCCAGCATTTGCTCAGAGGCTTTGAAATGTAAAACGGTCCACTTCGATCGTCTGCCATCGCGCCATAAAAGCCACGCTGCATTTGTTCCTCCCCACGCGACGGCTGCAGCGGTGACGTGTTGCACATGAGAGAATACGATTAGTGCAATGGAACATCAAGGCGTATCACTCAGACGTTCTGCGAAATTGACTTTTTCTATCGTTTCTCCATGATACAATACTGTTCCTCATCAGTCATGGATTTGGATTTGTTTTTAGATCCTTCCACGCTAATATAAGGAACTTCTAGCGCAAAAATATAACTCCGGCCGTTCTGTTTAAAAGCTCCTGACTCAGTCTTGTAAAAGTGTGATGTCATTGTACCACTGTGTGACATCACCCTGAGAGCAGGTTTCTGTTATTAATTCAATTCAATGTATTTTTGTATGGCCCTGAATAACAACGGGGGTCATCTCGGGGGACTTTAAAAAGTTGTCGATTGCCCAACCCTGATCAGAGTTTTCAAACCGTACAAACACCAATGTCTGTGAATGTCCCGGATCATCCCTGTCCATAGACCCTTCTGCACCGGCAAAAAACGTTTAAAAAACCCAGTAGAAAAAGTGAGAGAACTTGGGAGGAGGGATCTCAATGGGCCTCAAGTATTGCCCCTAAATTTGCTTTTCTCAAATTTTTGCTATCAATAATTTTCAAATGTGTAAAAAACAGAATCTATTCTACCCCTCCCTCTTGTGATGACATAGGGAGCTACGGGCAGACAGACTTTTTTACCCTTCGAGCTTGTTTCATCATATATTTTTGACTGAAGATATTAATTCACATTCCCAAACAGAAAAGGACAGCGTTAAAAGTTTAAATGTTTAATGGACAAAAATAACGTATAATATGTCTATAAATGTGATTGTTTTGAATACATGTACTGTTGTCTGGATCGCTTTGATAAATGGGGGTTGCAGTATGTCCAAGTCTGATTCAAACCACGAGACAACAATAGGATTCACAGAGAAATTTGTGTTTAAAGTAATGGAGGGAACTGGAGCCAAAGAAAGTGAATTATTGAATCTATTGACCTTTATTTAACCAAGATACTTTGTTTTGGTTTTTTTTACTGGACATGAGCTGAAGATTGACCATGTTGTGAAGTTCATTAAAATGTGATTCATTATGATGTAACCCGCAGGTTTCACACGATTCTGTGCATTTCAATTTCACAGGATTAGATGCCCTATGGGTAATATATACAGTGTTATTTCAGTGCATTTTCGACACATATATTATGTTATATCATGATATTAGTAAGAGACATGACACAGCTTTGTCAACACATGTACTGCAAAACTCAGTCGATGCTTGTACTCATTCACCAGTCTATTTTGACAATAAACAAGTGTCATGTAGCTACTCAAACTTTATGGAGTCAAAATGATAAGTCCATAAACTTCTCACAACTTCGGATGTTCTGAAAAATCTACCACAATAAAAATGCATACATTAGCAGCATTGCTATGTGAGAAACTAGAAGAAACCAAAGAACTAGAAAGAAGTGGCAGCTTATAGTTTGGAAATGACAGTAGGTAACCCAGCTTTAAAGTGCAAATTTACTGTAAAACATAGATACTTTTAGATCACTTAAACAGCAGCATTGTTTGTATGGGTTTAGACATTAACTTTCTGATTGATTCATTACAGGAAGTAAAAGCAGGAAGTCAAGATCTGAACTGCATTTAAATATATATTAGTTAAATCTGTAAAGTTCACATTTTACTCAAACATTGGTTTTTTAATTGAACAACAAACACATAAAAAAAATCACTGACCTGGAAAATAATCGCAAAATAACCTAATTTTTCTTGACCACATTGATAAAACCGGCTTTTCAATTACACTGCTTATCTCTGATTGCATTTTTTTTTTAAATCTCCTTTTCTTCCAAGCAAATATTACATTCTCCCCAGAATTGTGATGGGGGTTTTTTTTTTCTTTATTCATGAGCCACATCATTCTGCCAACATTAATCATTTTGAAGAATTGGAAACGACATCAACAGTGAGAAAATACGGATCAGAAGATAGAAAATCAAAAGTTTCTGAACGTTCTTGACATATTCTGCATCACTTGGAGAGAAAACAACAACAAACTCAGACTGAATGGTGAAGCCAATAGCTACGGAGTTAAAATGAGCAGAAGTATTGATCTTGTGATTGCTTTTGTGAGCGAGAGAAAAGGTGTCCATAAAAGTTGTGTTGTATTTTGTGTGTGTGTGTCTGTACTGTTTGCTGTGGTGCATGGACAGATGGCGCTCCAGCTGATTCTCCGCTGTGTGCCAGACGACCTCCTCCTTTACAAGCAAGAAAAGCAGCCACACCTAAATAAATAACTAGAAAACCGAGAGGGAGAAAGAGCGAGAAAAAGTAATTACACACATTTCACGTATATCTCAACCACAACTATGTAGGGCAGGATCAGTACAAATTGCGGAGGGATTAAACACATTCAGAATAGTAAACAATAGTGTAATTATCTTCTTCTTCAATGCATTGTGTCAGACTGTCCCACTGTTTGCCAGCAGGGAAATCAGCCCCATCCGAGACGTCACACCGACTGCACAACATATACAGTATATATATAAATCAAAGTTTATGTGAGAATTGGATGGTAATAGTTTCCCTGCGGTGTTCCAGATGTCCTGTGGTTTGTTTATCAACCAGAAAAACACACACCTGAGCTCAGGAGGAAAGACGGATTAAGGGGAATCTGAAAAGGATTTTTTTTCTCCAAACAAATACAAAATCACATGCATTGTTGTCTCATAATTAACGAGAATCTCAAATCACAGGCAGGACTAAACCAGGTCTGATTACGGGACTCAAACAGAAGCCAAACCGGATAGAGAGCAGATCCAGATGTGAGACCTGGAGACCAGAGGTGTGACCAGATCCGAACCTGAGCCCAGAGACCAAGACCAAGACATGAAACAGAAGCTTTCGGGAAGTAGTGCATGGTCAACACAAAAAAGGGCCCGAGGGTTTTGAATATGGAAGCAAAGTTGTATAATTAAATTGTATAGCACAGTTCATACACAAGGCAACTCATTGTGTTGAACAAAGTCACCATGGTTAAAAAGAGTAAAGACAAAATGTTGTATGCAAAGTTAAACAGAACCGTTTTAAACAGTATTTGATTATTTTCAGAGTAGAAGTCCCCAGAGTGGCCAAAACTATGTAAACTATTGAACAGTGTAAACTCTTCTTAATCCACTATTTTTTGTATTTATTTGAGCTGTATACTTCCTGCTCAAAAGGAGATGACTGAAGCAAAACCCTTTTAAGCGTCCACCCCCAACTCAAAACAACAAAATGGTCATTCTCAATGGTACAAAAGGAACACAGTGCACAGGGAACAAAACCAGTGAGGGGTGAACGGCACAAACTAATGGACATGGCATTCACAACAAATATCACATTTCACCAAATTAATAATGAGTAATGTTAGAAAAACAAGATAAGCTACTGAATCAACAGTTAATTATTATTAATATATATATATATACATAACAACTAAAGCCCTTTATGACATACTGAGATAAAGCAGAAATTCAGAGTGGAAGATATTGTTCTCAGCTGCACAGTCGCACACCGGGGCTCATCAGCATCTCCTCACAGCTGCATTCAAACACTCTCCGTCCTGCATCAAACACCTCCTGTCGCCGCCTCTTCAGAGGACAAAATGTCATGTTCAAATGTAATACATATTTTACTACATCATTCGTCAACCGGGTCGAGTTTTCCAGAAGGGCCGCTACATATTCATGCACACATGCCAGTAACACGTACTTCTAATGCAATCATTGTCTTGAGTCTTTTCAGATTGAGGAAAGAGGAACGCCCCAAGATCACCTGGAGACGGACGGTGGAAGCCAAGAGAAGAGAACAGAACATGGCATGAGCCTGATCACCGACAGCGATGGAGAGACTTTTCATCACTGCAGACAATATCAATGTGTCCATTTAAATCTATTTTGAGCAAACTAATGAGAATTATTTCCCTCGGTTATCGTTATAATGTAGAAACGGTTCTGTTTTCTGTGTTCTGGATTCAAACAGTTGAAGAGGCAAAACGCCATATGGTTATTGAAAGCAGCAATTACAATCTGTGACTAATTTCCACTTGGAACACTCAGTACTATAGTATTGTATTACTAAACATATGCTTGTTTCCTTCGTACGCTTCTTGGCTCAACCTGAGAAGGCGCAGTGCCAGCGTTGCTCGGCAGACGGGCCGGTAAAGACAAACAGAGGCGTTTATGCATAAGTGCGGCGGCTTAGCAGAAGGACAAAACCAATGGATAAGTAGGTGTGCAATTAGGCAGAAAAGCTAAAAAAACAAAATAGGGCGTGGATTTATGAGAATTTGGTCACAAGGTTTGGGACACATAACACACAAAGTTTTCACAGCTTTTACCATGTTATTTAGCAGTTGTATGGACTGAGGCACAAAAAAGTGTTTAAATTTTCTAGATGTAAAACCACCACTCTTAACACTAGAACTCCAGGAGTCACAACATATACAAGGATTCATGGTAATTATTGAATTTACTCCATGTCGTATCAGAAGGAAGGAAAGATGAAAGATGAGGTCCCAAATAGTTTCAGAATGTCCACAGGACCAGAGTTAATTTTGACAAAAAAATTTAATTTCGTTAGTCTTGTATGTAGTTGTAATGTATTGTAGTTTTTTAATCAAAATTTTAGTCCTCTGATTTAATTTAGTTTTAGTCCAATATTAGTCGATAAAAATATGAAGCATTTTAGTCAACAAAAATATACAATTTTTTTTCTGAAACGTTGCTGTTGACATTTGTATAAATAGGGACATTCTTGTACAAATATGTACAGATAATTACTTGTAGCCTACAAACGTGGCACAAGTACCTTCATTACTTTACTTTACTTTATTGTTCGTGTCACATGAATGCCACTCGTCCATTGGAGAAATCTTGTTTGATTTAATATCATTTGGCAAAATAAAACCAAATAAAGTCCAAGCAAAGAAATGTATCTTTGAGTGTTATAAAAAATGTTTGTCCTCATGATGTTGTTAGAGTAAATGATTCACCTCGAAGCTTCCAACCGCGTTAAGTCTGCGATGCCTCTTATCGCCATATCTTGTTTTCCTCTTTGTCAAACGTAAAAATGACCCACAGATTCTCCCAGCCGTGGGGATGTTCTTGTTCTTTTCATCATCGATGGATACTTTACAAGCTTACAAGAGTGGTGTTGTGGTTAGCGTTAGCAATAGCTTCTGTTCACAGCCGGTGCCACGGTCGGCACTAGATCATAAACGGAATGGTGACGGAAGTGGAAGTAAATATAAGCAACTACCTGAATAATAGGGCACTGTCCGGTTTCCGAAATGTGCTAAAAATTGCTCCGATGACTGCGCATGCGCGCATGTTTCGGCCAAACTCTGTCCGACTCCGTTGAGTACTTCTGTGTTCTCCACATACGCGTGTGTATTTACTTGGGCTAAATCATTGAATCATGGTGACAACAAAACACTGCAGTTATGGTGCTTGTGGGAGCGATTTCAGATACTCTGAAAAGGACTATATGAAAGCAGTAACATTCAACCCGTTCGTTAAACCACAACATCGGACCAGACCAGGACCAGACCAGGACAACTGCAAGAGGCGGGTGCTTGTGGTCGGCAGAATTTCTCTCTAGAAAATGTTAAAAAGGACTCGTATTTGTTCAAAACACTGGACCAACTGTGGAGCATCCAGATCCAGTCCTACAGTAGCTACGTTTAGCTGGGACTGGACCTGGACCGTCTGAACCGCTGTATCAGCTCCGTCTGAGCTCTTCTGAATGTAGTTAGCACAAACTTTCTCTTTATTCCATTTACCCCATCAATCCATATTAGTATTGTTTGTCCTAATCCAGAATGTATACAATTCTCACACCTGAAGAAAGATGAGAGGGATTTTTTCAACTTTGTGACTATCGGAAAATAAGTACAGACGAAGCGCGTCGGGGTCCGCGTATTATACGGCTTTGTACCAACTGCACACACAAAATAAACTTCTGTCACTATTAATGCCAAAAGGTTTATTTAATGAGTGCAAAGAAAATAGTTCAAAGGTTTTCCCGTGGCAGGCGAGTAACAGTGAGGCTAGTTAACCTACTTCAAAAAAGCGATCGCTTTAGTCGCATTAAAAAAGTATTTTTGTCATGAAAACCTTAACAGATAATACTGAAAACCTCTGTTCACGTGTGTTACGAATGTATGTATAATATATTCTCCCATTAACATTTAAATGTGTCAATTGTCAAAAGGAGCACAAAGAAGACAAACTTATATTATGTGCCCCTTTCTCCAAAAAAAAACAAACAACATTTTTCAAGATGGTCTGATGTAACAACACATCAGTCACAAAGAAATAACAAATACAAAACATGCCACAAGCAGGGTTTGCTCATCAAAACAAATAATCCTTTCATTTAATTTCCAGTTCATATGATTTAATTATTGTTTCCTTGAATATTTGTTTAAACTGAAAAATATTTGTGGAGTTTTTTAAAGTGTCTTTCATGGAGTTCCACAGCTTGACTCCAGCCACTGAGATAGCCATCCGCTTCTGGGTGGTACTGGCAAAAGGAAGAATAAAGTTAAGTTTGTGTCGGAGACGAGAGTCTGATTTAAACAAAAATAGTGTTTGTACATTATAATTAATATCGATTAATATCGGCTGACAGTAGCTAACTATATGATCAAGTAATTACAGAGTGGACAGTACAAAAAAAACTTGATAAATGAAAGTTAATCACAGAAAAATAAAAAAAGAAGGCGCTAGCATTGCAATTTAAATGACAGGATAATGTTAGCATAATCCTCACCATTACCTTTTTATCAATTCAAACGTTCTACCAGTTACTGTAGACCACGACATTCAAGCCAACGTTTTAATTGGTCTACACTATGATCCCTGATGGTGGAATTTTGCCCCTGGTTTATCATTTTCGTCTAAAGTGACAAGTGGTATTTGATTCATTTCGGCAGTGTTTGTCCGAAACATGTGGGCGGGAGTTGACAGGCGGCGGGGGCGTGTCTTAGTGACGTCATTTAGATAGTTCGCTATAGATCTAAGTTCAAACTTAACCATCCATTCCCATAGAATAACCCAAACCCACCCTTAGCCCTAACCTTAACCATCACTCAGACACCTAAAACTTAATCATTCACCACTTAAGGACTTATTGGTCTAAAACTAATTCAAAAGATTGTTACTTCCGCTTCCGTCCCGATTCCGAATATGAACTTGTGCCGACCCTGGTGCCATCAGTGCTTACTGAGACAAGCCTTCATTGGTCCTCCTTGCATCTAGTCCGGCCAGTCAATTGGTTGTTTTCTCATTTGCCATTTGTCATGGTCTGTTTTTTGTTTCGTCTTTTATTCGTTGAATAAAATATCCATTAATTTAGTCATCGTCACAATGAATTACTACTATCTTAGTTTTAGTCCCCAAAAATATATTTGTGACAAAATACATGGCGCTAATATTTCGTCAGTGAAATTAACGCTGCTGAGGACACTATACGTAAGTAAGTCATATTTATTTATATAGTGCCTTTCACAGACCAGAGTCACAAAGAGCCTTACAATTGTGTCACTCCACACAGAGATGGGAATGGGGTCGTTTCACTATCATGCGATTGTGACGAATCGAAAATGACATCAAAAATGTCTTCGAGGCATCTTCAAAGACTGTCACTACACTGGTCCTTTCAGACCACAATGCTTTTCAAGAGTCTGGGAAAAAACAGCAATGACAAAAATCAAAAGCAGAATTTTTTATTGCATGACAATTGCATTCCCAAAATCACAGCAGCCATCATTATTATTATGGAAGAGCCTTTACAACTTACTATTAGTCCAGAATTATGATTAAAACACTTACAAATAAACCACTGGCTGTTTTGTTCTGTGTTTGTAGCAACCAGCTTCAGCAGTTGGATATGAATTGCTCAAAAATGGACATAAGCCAAAAAATCCGTCCTGATGAGATGCAAATAGAAAGCTGTTTTGAATCATCATCATGTTCAGACTTTTTTGTTTCTCCATTGACTTTGATTGTAGAGCTCCTCATGCGCTCTGGTATCTTCTCTGTGTTTACCGGGGGGGGGGGGGGGGGGGGGGGGGTAAGGAGGTGAGCCATGCAATCAGCCAGGAGGACCCTCCAAAAGCTCCGAGCACATGTCTGAGGACCTGGCCGTTACAATGAGACCCTGCGATTCCAACAGACACGACTCTATTATACCGACGAATGTCACGGCTCTGAACATGCCACGCTCGTTCATTATACACGCAGGATGCACTGTTTTCTTACCGGTGTACGCAGGGAGTCAAGCTGGTTATCTTAATACCCTTTCTTCTTTGCCCTACCCCTAACCCTTGCTGATAAAAAAAGTAACTTACCTTCAGCTCCTGTGCACACGCAAAATTAACAAGTATAAGGCCAAAGGATTGAACTCACAATCAATGGTCCAATCACCAATATAGCATTTCCACATGACTAAGAAACATGGATATGGAATAATGTACTGGATGGTAAAAGTACACTGCAAAAAGTGATGAAAATTGCTCCATTTTGGCAAAATAGTTTGAGGACTTTTTGACTGCCTTAAAGATTTACCAATGGGACAAAGCAAAATTATCTTGTTTTAAAAAGATACAAGAAAATTCACTTTTGGAATGAGAAAATAAAGCAAAAACAGTTCATAGAAGACTAAATGGCTTTGTCCCATTTGGCAAATTTTGTTTCAATGACAGTCAAAATGTGCTAGACTAGATTGTTACCTCATATTTTTGTTTTTTTCAGTGTACTTGCTGGTCTGAATTGCTTTACTTGGAATATCCCACGTATGGCATTGAACTGATCTATTTAC